ATCAGCGGCTAATTTGACGTTCGCAACGCCCCAAATAGGTACGCCTAATGCCTGATACCGGCGGCCGGATCGCAATTTTCCTTTCCCTTGCAATTACCTAAGCACCCCAAATTTGATGCACGCCAAGGCCCGCGCCGCTCCTCAACTGCTATTCTATTTTTAATCTAGACGCAGCAATTCATTTGTTTAAGTGCATCTAAATATATAGCACAACTTTTAACTGATATGACTGTGTTACGGCTAATTCAAAAATGGAATTTTTGCTTCTCAACCCTACTGGCAACAAGTATTGTAATCGCGAAGAATTTCGAAAATGAGATATGTTTTTATGTTATATACTTATACATACAAAGAACCATATCACTCATTTTTGCCGGTCTATTATTTGTCCGTCCGCCAATCTTTGGCCTGACTATAACTTTTCACACAAGGTTACTCTACATCTCTACACTTATTGTATATAGGGACCCTTTTGGTAATCATATTTTTTACATTTTTTCTTTTGCTGACATCTCAAATAAATCCAGGAAAAAGTAAAAATGATTTTGGAATAGTTAGGTGTCTTTCATCACGGGGGTGAAGCTATGGCAACTACATTTATGAAAACACTTTACATACAATGTCGAAGTCTGTCATTTTTTTTTCGAGAAATTGGTATATATTGCCTGTGCCTTCTAACTTGTTCACCACTGTTTATGAAAAATTAGTCCAACATCATATTTATGACAATAAAACACCTCTTAAGCAGTTGAAAATTTCACACATAGGATGCTGTAGTAGGCAACCAATCATACACGTTTGGATGCCTGCTGTTTATACCATAGATAGATTGGCTTTGATTCATGGCATGCTTTCATACAAGCGACCAAATGTAAGACAAGCAGCTTGAGCGGGTAGGAAACTAGGGATTTTATTTTGTTGTCTCTGATAAAAGAAAGCAATTATACTTAAATGGGTGCAAACAGACATTTTTTTCAGGGAGGAGGGCGATGGGATCATCGGCAAGAGACAACCATTTGTGAAAGCGTACCTGTTCCCAAAAAATCTGTAGACCAGCGGAGGGTAGCAAATTTTCTTAAGGGAGTAAGTTCAAAGAAACCATAAAATTGTAGAAGGGAGGCGCACGGTCCATTATCTCAGAACACGACTGTATTCAAAGGTCGCCCCTGAGCAGGAAAAATATAGTATAGTAATTAGTCTACAGCGCAATCTATGAGACACCAACCTTTTCAAAGTATCTACCTAGATTTCTAATTATTGCGGAGAGGAGCAATAGCAACATAGCTGTGACAAAAGGTCATAGTTGATGCTGGGATATGTCATTTCATTACCGAGCGTTTTTTGGGCGCAGAAATACGTTTGGTTATCTTCGGGTAGAATACGTTAATAACAAGTCAGCGGTATCGGTCGATTCGGAGCCACTCCAAAAATTTGAAATGCGTACAAGAACTGACACTGACTTGTCCTCACCCTCGTATACGACGTTCACATTCCAACCAACAGATGTCAAACATTTTTGATAGCTGCAATGAGAATTGCCTAAACGTAACAATGTGAACCAATATAATCTTTCACTTTTCCTTTTAATAGAGCATTTCATATTTAAGGCAACCAGCATGACACGCGTGCCAATAATCGAGCGCCAATCAAGCAAAAAAACGATTGTGTTCTGGCCTAAATAAACGAGAGATTCCCATAATCTTTGAATAAGCAGCAAATATATATATAGACAATATTTTTGAGAAGTAAATACCTAGAGCAGCAGTTCAAGGATTATTCTTCCAAACATTTTTTCATTTACGTCACAATTAACGATAAAAACATCGGTAATAAGACGGGTTTATTTATCTCTAGGAATTTAAATTATGTATAAATGGGGTCGGCGAGGTGCAGTGTTGCCGGATCGAAAAAGGCGAAATCGGTGCCTTGGAAATTCGAGGACAAAATCGGTAAGCTTTCTCCACTTTAGTAACAGTCAAATTTTAATCAAAATCCAATTTACATAGTAAAAATCATAATATTTAACATTTCATAAGTCATGAGCAACTTTGGACAATTTCAACAGAATTTGACTATACAGGGTGTTACTTAGGCAGTAATCACAAGAAAGCATTATTTGTGAACCCAATCTGAGAAGATCAATCAGACATATGTCCTAAAAAGTCAGGTTTCTAAAGTACAGGATGTACAAGTTTTATAAAATTGTCTGTTTTCGGCAACGAAGCGCCACATCATTCGACAATTTCCCGTTGGTATGGAGAATTCAAACGTGGACGGGTGAGTCTTAGCGACGATCCCAGTGTGGGTGCACCAAAAACGGCAGTCACCCAGGAAATCGTCGATCCAGTGCGCAAACTCATCATTGAAGAAAAATTTTTCATGAAGAATTAGGAGTAAGAAAATTAGTTTCTCGTTAGATACCTCACCTGTTGACTGAAGAGCAGTAAGCAGCCAGGGTTAATTGGTGTCAAAAAACGCCTGACCGTTTCAATTCCTGAAACTCAAAAAATGTGTACCTACAGCATTGTTAGTGGTGATGAATCGTGGATTTACTGTTATGAACCAGAAAATAAACGATAGTCGGTTTGGGTGTTCCAAGGTGAAGAAAAGCCAACAAGAGTCATCCGTTCTCGAAGTGTTTCGAAAAAGATGGTCGCGACATTTGTGTCAAAAGCGGGTCATATTGCAACAATTCCTCTTAATGAACAAAGAACTGTTACTGCGGATTGGTATACCACCATTTGTTGAGCTTCGAAAAATCAACCCCGAAAGAAGAATAATCCTCCATCAAGACAATGCAAGCTGGTACACAGCCCAAAAAACAAGGCAGTATTTAAAACGGAAGAAAACGTGGAATTATTGGACCATCCTCCATATAGTCCCGATCTAAGTTCTAAGGATCTCTTTACTTTCCCGAAAAAAAAGGTTCCAGTCACCAGAAGAAGCAGTTAACGCATTCAAAAATGTCGTTTTGGATCTGCCAGCAACCGAGTGGAATAAGTGTTTCGAAAATTGGTTCGAGCGCATGCAGATGTGTATTAATTTTCGTGGAGAATACTTCGAAAAACAATAAAGTCATTTAAAACTACCTACCGTGTTGTTTTATTTCCGTATGCAAAACTTAAAAGACATCGCTCGTATTAACATCTCAAAGGTGTGTTTGTGCCGATTTTGTCACAATTGTTTCTTGCAGCTAGACGCTACGTTAGCTTCAAGTAGAAGATAATTATGAAGTGCAGTGGTGTCTCGGGGGCAGTAACACAAATAACGTTCACAAAAAAATGTCCGCCCCTGACCATGGCCCTGTACTGAATCGTCGCATGGCTAAAGTCATGAGATTACAACTCGAGTAATAGTATGATTGCGAAAGTGCTACTTTTCATGTTTTTCCACCCCTGTCTCTCTGTTTTTTACATGTATATTTTCTCAGTTAAGGAAATATCAGTGTTGCCGAACCGAAAAAGATGAAATCTAAAGTACGAACCATCGTTCGACAATACGTAACTAAAACTGACATAGCCTCGTCGAGGAAGCTTAATATGAAAAAGAGCTGGCAAATGGAATGGACTAATTTCTGTACCAACAATAATAACCAATACTGCAAAATTTATCCAAACCTCCCTGACTCCCCAATAGAGCTCAGAAGCCACGTCAATAGGAGAGTACACTCAATGTACTTCAGATGTTTGGTCGGACATGCTACAGTAAAAGCTTACCTGCACCGCTTTGGTCTCGAAGAATCGGATACATGTAGCTGTGATGGGAATAGGGATGATATCAATCATTGGTTGTTCCAATGCAAATTCAACTCAACCGCTTCAGTTTATATGATGAGTGAGCTGGCTACACTTGGTGTTCCATTTCCTCAAAGTCAAACCTCCCTTCTGTATTCAAGCACTCACAATTCATCAATTCGAAAAACTCTATGGGACTTCTTCAAGAGAGCCAGACGGAAAATATAATTAACGAGTTACACGAATTTAGAATTCAGTGAGATTGTCGTGTGACTTGAGTTATTTTTACCTGTGTTTTTGCCTATCTGTTATTAAACCTACCAACCGTTGCCTGTGTTGTCTGTCTTTAAAGTCGTCATGACCGGCACCTTGACGTGAAACGTGTATCCCCGTTCCTCCCTAATCTTGGTTCTTCTATTATAATTTCCTGGTTTTGAGTAGGGCCCTGTTACCTGTATGTATGTGGATCTATACAATATTGCTAGCAGCGGATCTATATGTTTTATTATAAATTTGAGCATGTTTATATCACTCTCGTGGCCGAATAGGCTAGAACTCCTAAGGCCAGTAATAAAAACAAAAAAAAAAAAAAAAAAAACCATCGTTCGAATATAGCAACCGGTGAAGAAAATTGATTTTTAACATCCTAAAGTCTCAAATTTTCGGTAAACAAGGTTTCATTTATGTAGAAAAATCGTTAGATTCGGCAATACTGGGGGGTGGCCACACAGACAAGAAGTTCAGTTGGATGTTTATACTGCACATGCGTGAACTATGGCAGGGCTGCCAGATTGCTACAATATCCAACAAGCTCAGTTATTCGACGGGTATTAATGTAGTAATTATTTTATTATCATTAATAATTAACGTAGTCTGCAAGTGTATTAATTAGATAAAATTTGCACTCTATATTATTTATGCTTTACATTCCCTATTTAACAAGTAATATTAATTATAAATAATAAACAAACGCGTTAATGCGGACGTAATATTCAGTCGCGATATTATAAATTGTTAATTTAATAAAATTGCAGTGGCACAGATATCATATTAAGAATTACTTCTCCTCATGGTTAACAGTAGAATGGAATGTTCTTAAAGTCAACTTGTAGTCAAGATGTGGCAACGGCGACATCAGTGACGTACATGAAAAGCGCAGTTGTCGAGTTGTCAAAGTTGTTCCGCATGCTGCGGATCGAAGCACGGCGTTCTTACGAGGTGAACACGGCCTTGAATCACGAGGCATCGGTCTCGTGCACAGTTTGGCAACGCCGTCCCAGACGGGAACATTCGATTTCTCTGCGGCGACCATTGGTGTTTCTTCATGTCATTTTGTTTTCGTGTGTCTATTCGTTATTAGACTAGACGCATTTTAACAATAATTATGCGTCGCGAATGGTGATTACGAATATGAAGAAATAGTGGAACACGATGATAAACAATTTAAGAAGGCGGTTATTATAGTGATTCCTCCTTTTGTTGGCGGATTCCGCGCGTTACAGACTCCAAAAAATTCCTATTTATTGTGTGTACATTAGGTGTATTTAAAGACTGATCCCCAAAGGAAATGGATGAGAAATCGGCGATATTCATCGTCAGTTTGCTGCTGATCGGCGTGATAAACAAAGTGAGTAGACAGATTCACGATTCGTTTGTAAATATAGACTTCTTTCACCACCACACCTTTCTCCAAATAGCCTTCCAGAAAAATCAAATCGGGGAAGCAAAACATTTCGTGTTTCTCATTATTGTTTTTTCATTTCTCTACGATGTTATGATGGTTGGGTATGTAAAAGTTAGATTCAATGGTGTAAGATGTAAATATCTTGATATATACTACACTATACGTCTATACCTGTTCCTGCTGTTTGATTTTAGCTTCTTTGATTTATTTTGAATACAATAATTGATCGATCTTATTTTCATTGGTGATATGAGGAGAAATATTTATATTTCATTGTATGCAGTTGTTGCCCAACATCCAATGAATCATCACATTTCAGGTTTTGGTTTGTAGTACGTACTGTATCATTACCTTCGAATAATATTTGATATAACAAATTATCATTTCGTATTTATATTGATCTATTCTCGAAAATGATGGTCGGCAATGCTACTACTGGTTATGAAACTATAAATACAAAATCCTATAACTTTTGATTGAACTAAACAAAAATAAGGTTATCAGCATTGATCGACACATTTAAGAAATACGTCAATGACGAACATTCCGAAGATGGATAAAGAAATACGTGTCAGCCATGGCGATACTGCTTTATTAGTTAAGTATCCTAATTCAGTTTGCTTTGGCTTCCTTACTGATGATTCACACTACCTTAAAATACACCCAGTTGCTTTGATTTCAATGTTTACGCTTTTTATCGTTCTTCGTTCGATATTCACGTCTACAGTGAACGCTTAATCTGTAATATGAGTAATATCATTTTTTGTTATTTTGATTCCCGATTAGTCTCGTACATTTCACTCGTGAGAAAAAATTGCTGGTACGAGGGACGTCTTTTAAGTTTTGCATACGGAAATAAAACGACACGGTATGTAACGAAGCGGTCCGTAATGCCAAAGACCATCATGATGTAAAAATTAGAAACAGGGTAATGTGGCAGAACAATGGAAGTCGGCGTTTCTGGACGCTGACAAAAAGTATTAAGAATACTCCTTCAAATTGTTGTTGTTGAGATTGGGTTTTATGGATGTACGAGGGTAGGTAGTTTTAAATGACTTTATTGTTTTTCCAAGGATTCTCCACGAAGATTAATACACATGGCAACCTGTTCAAAGTATCACAGCGGTAATATAGCAGTAGCAAGGCTCACCTCTGTACACGACAAAGAATATCGAAAGGAAAAACGACGCTTCGGTTTACCTTAAAAAATATCGCTACCAAGATTCACATATTGCAATATTATTTTACAACGTGCAGTCGCCGATTTTTACCTTGAACAAATGAAACGTTACATTGAACATGTCATTTGTGATGCGCGACCAGAGACCACAGTCTGTTGTTCGCATATTATTAATTTATGATTATAGCTGATGGGAATGATTATAGGTGTTTCCAATTTTAGGTTTAACTATCTTTCCGCATCTTTAGATCAAAGATAATAAATAGCTGAACTAGATCTATTTTATGGCTTTTATTGTGTTGACGAAATATAAAAAATTGCTTCTTGAACAAACACACGAAGGGAAATGCAATAAAACATTGCATTTATCATATTTTAATTATTTAACGTCGATGATATTCAAATAATGAAAAACAAAACTTGTCGACCATGCGACCAATTCTGCAATATAACTTGTCATACGAGATAATACGCGAATGAACAACGCGATCAAAGGTAAAAGTGCAAATATACTTGTGTTAAAAGGTAATAAAAATCCAACTCCTCGGATCGACTGGAAACTTTGTATAGTCATATTTCGAAACACCTGTCACCTGTGTTGTAGGTTGTATCTACATTTGTAGCACCTGCGTGTTATCGAAAGCTCTAGATATATGTTCCATTTTCCATTTGTATTATTATAATTATTGCTCTTAAAAAAACCTGATAAATGATTAAGGTATTGTAAACAAATATTCAAGTAGTTATCTGTGAGAAAGTAAAGGGCCTGACCTTGCGGCGTCTGCACAATCAATTAAACAAAATGAAAATAGTATATAGATTTAAATGAACGACCGGCGGCCGGCATAGTTTTATTAGAAGGAATCAGAGACAATTAACACACCGTGTAACTGTGTCGTGAGACTCGAAATTCTTTTCTCATGGCTCAACGTGATCCTGAACCTACCAGTGGTGATACCGAGAATTTGATAAATTACTTTGACTCGTGTAAATTTCTATCTAGACACCTGTGCAAACAAGATATTCATTTAGCTGATTATTTTAATGACCCTGTCGAAAAATCCGTCGGTAAGAGACGTTGATTATTAATAATATGATGGATGGCTGGCTTTTCAGTATATCAAAGTGATAGTTTGATTTGAATCTGTCTGCATTGCTTCCTGTATACTTATGAAATTTTAAAGTAAAAAAAAGATAAGCTTCTCCATTGTTACTGTATTCATAGAAAAATTAAAAACGTCTCAGAAATAAATCGCGGGCTATATTTTATTTGACATACGCACGCAACATAAAGTTACGAATATATTGATAAGAGTTCACGTAACAACCATTAATCGAATTATGTAGAAAGTGCCGTCTCTCGCATACACCAAGAAGAGTCCTTCATCGATGTACACGGAAAAATCCGAAAGTTATTGCCGTTATTATGGCATACACGGAATTATAGCAATGAACATACTGAACTGCTGCTGTTTGAAATTTGACAATGTGGATGATTGATGTGATCTTCAATCGAAATGTCGAGTGTTTATAAACGACATCTTAATAGTAAACTGCGTTCTTAGTAGTACAAATATACGTGATTCTGAACTGAATATTTATAGGACTTTCGATACATCATTTTTGCTTGTACTATTTTACTCCCTATTTATCAGGATACCGTGAATTTTTTGGCTCCGAAAGATTGATATGTTTTGGCTCTGATAGATCTCATGCATACATAAGTATATGTATATAGATATAAGTACAACATTGTGATACAATGTATAATGTATTTTCTGTTCAAATAAAAACAGTTACTATGTATTGCTGGAGGCGGCTCCGACGCAGTGAGTTTCAAGCCATTTACAAGGGTTCAGCTGCTTTAAAAGTGAAACTCCATTTTTCAATATTTTTGAATGAAATTCATACAGTATTTTGAGAAGATAATTGCCCGGAGTGGTATAGGAGCACTTTTTGAAATTTTGTTTTTGCACAAGTTTTATGATGGGTTGAAGTGCGCACTTTTTCTGTTCAACGTCGCGATTTTTTTAAAAAGAACCTAGTGAAAAAAATGAAAAAGTGGCTCTATAGCACCCTGTGGGGTTTTTTTTCAGCACTCTGTGCAAATTTCTTTCAAAAATGTCAGAAAATAAAGCGTCATTTTCGAAGCGCCCAAACTTCAAAAATTTTCGCTTAGCAACCTCCAAATCAATGTGGTTAATGTCAGGTTTTTGATTGAAATCGCTATAAAACATTCTAGGTCGCTAATCGAAATCCGACTCTGTTATCATAAAAATTTACCTAGGTATGCACCCGCAGTCATCCTTTCCTCTATTAAAGTAGCGCCGACTACCGTCTAAGGCCAGCCCACCCTCGTTTCCTTTTCACCCCCCCGTTACATCAGCAGATGGTGCTCGTGATTGTAGGAGCCTTAAAACGAATATTTTATATTTTGTGGTTCAAAGTTTATCTAACTGTTTTCACGATTACCTTTCTTATATCTATCTCAAATATTTTCTTTGTACTGAGAAGGCATTCAAAAAGCCATAATTTATCCATTAGCAAGGGAAAGAGAAGTAATTAGGGAATTGTAGGATGAAACGTAGGTCTTTTGGCGTTGGGTTTCGTCAAAGAATGTACGAGACATTATCAGGACACTAAAAGCAAATGCAGGTACCATTCGGAAACGAACGGTTCTTCCGAAAATAAAGGACGTACATAATAAAACAAATGACTCAACTGTGAAAACACCTGGTAGAAAAAATTTGTAGACGGCAACGTGTTGGACGCGTTCTGTTGACTCGAACTATTGTGATTTTTTCAATATACACTTGTGCCGCACACAATCCTTTGTTGACAGGTGACAGCGTTGCGTGGGAGCGCACAGTCAACCTGCTAACTGACATTTTTTTGTAAGCGATCATATATCACAGGAGAATTTGCAGGAACAATATTTCTGTCGAATGGAAATGGAAACATGGTGTGCAGAATGATTACGCTTCGTTTGCCAAAAACTGAATGCACACGCACAGACACGCGCGTAGCTCGGCATCGATATCGCGTACAGCTTGTTTTAGCTGAACAAATTGACGCACATCCGACATGCACATGCTCCGATCTTTCCAATAACAGTTATTTTTAATCGGAATAATAACGTGAAGTAGATCGGCTTTATACAACCAACGCATTCATATGAATTCATGCCGAGTATTTTTGCACGCGAATGTGCTGCCGGAAATTGAGAAACAATTGCGAGACTTGAAATTCTATACTTGCCGGTAATCGGCACCAGATTTATCAACCAATTTGTGACAGTTTACAAAAATTTAACATCCACAGTTGTCACGTTGAAATTCGTAATTATACTTTGTATTTCATTTTTGTCTAATCTGGCACATTCGCCGTATTTGTTTAAACTGGTAGAAAGCTTATTTTTTTGTTGTGGCTTGTTCTACAACTTCTCTATGTTCGGTATGAACACAATCTGAAAAATTGTTTTTCTCCGATAAGAAAAAAATATTTTTGTGAAAGAAAAAACGTAATGTATCAAGTGAACCATATGCGACCTTCCCTTATGCATTTGTAATGCAATCACAAAATCTCATGTCTGTGCGACTACTTGTTCTGAAGCTATCGCGGCAGAAAAGTTGACAAAAAAATTGATATTTTGACAAAAAAGATTATCACAAATCAGTCATTTTTACACACACCATACAATAATTAGACAATATGTATTAATAATGCTGCCCCAATCGCACAGTTGAAAGAAAGGGATGAGCGACCTTAATCATAATAAAGAAAATTCTACGAAAATGCCGTTTAGGTCGTATTTCAATAAATACCTAATTTGAAAATCCAGCTCGTAAGAAAACTCGGGTGTACCTTGACATACAAGCCTCGACACGAAACGCGAGGTTGACACATTTTTGTAACTCCTCAAATACGTCTTGTTTATTTTAGGAATGTTTGTGTGCGAAGCGCAAATGCCAGACCTTGATACTTTCCCTCAGAATGTTGTTTTACACGGGTAAATTAGTTGTATTTGAATTTCAGTGAACTTTTGGAAGGACGCCAAACATATAATCAGACACTTGTTTACTTTATTCTATAAACTGATGCACAGTGATTATTTTCAGCATCATTCGTATTTTAGGATTTCTGTTTTCAAATTTAGAGAGAAAGCGCGGGATATTTTTGTTATAAATGCATCAACATATTTTTTATCTAACGGTCGCACTTGTTTGTATCGTATCAATAATTTTTGTCGTTCGCATTTGGCATGCCTATAATTAACAGGTTACAATAACCTTTTCGGGTTGTTGATACGCATTCTGTTTTTTGCGTTATCATACGCGTACGGAGTTATTTTCAAATATTTGTTGCACTGTTGTTGGAGAGGTAAACATCATTTTTACTTTTCAAAGAAAATTTTCGTTATTGTCCTTTTGTGTATGATTATTCGTTATTAAAAAACAATGAAAGAAATACAGTGAAGCTTGGTTTAATGAATTATCAGCATTGCCATGTACTAGTATGTGCGAATGACGTAACAGCAGCAATAATGTTACACACACACAAAAGGTATACAGTGAAGAAATGCTCAAGGTGGCGACGGCTATCACATACAATGGCGATATTCATTCGATTCCTATGCCGATGTATTTTATAATCATTGAACTACTGGATATTTGTAAAACAAAGAAGATCCACAACCCACAAATCACTGTTAACGGGATCAGAGCTATTTTGCATGTACGCATTATTCATACTGTCCATCTCTCTCTCCCTACTCATACATTTACGTATAATTTTCGAGAATGCTTCTAAATATTGATTACTAATAGCTGTGTCCGTGTCTGAAATATTTCCGTAACCGTTGTACTATTTAGATAGGCATGTAATCTGTGAGGCAATTAATACGACGATAGTAGACGTTGAAATCAGAATAGAAGAAGTAATCATGTATTAAATACATAGACGATACAGCAATGGAATCAATTTATAAAAAGTTAACAGGAAGAAAGCGCATTTGCTTAAATATTTTCTTAACATTGACCATACATAACTTGGAAAGTTTCATCATTCACAATTTACCATTACCACATTTTGTGTGTGACGTTGGTCCTGGTCCAAAACAAACAGGGCAGTAATTCGATCAGCACTTACGTTTAATTTCGTTTCAGGTCGTATGGTGCGCGGAAGACAACAGCTCGTTGTCAGGGCACGCCCCTTCAGAGGGGGGAGCGGGCCACTGCGTCTGGTACGGCGAATGCAACAAGAAGAGCTCCACCAAACAAAATTGCCCGTACGACGGCCCCGCGAAGCCCCTGGATGACGCTAAGGGGAAGGCGTTGTTGAAGAAATGGTGCGATGGGGTCATCGATCCTGACAAGCCAATGTGCTGCGATTACGCGCAACTTCAGACGTTCGACCAGAATATGGGCATGCCCAGTAGTTTGCTGGGGAGGTACGGATACTTTTTTTATTCTTCTTTGAACCGAAACTGAATGAGCACGGCCAAAAACGCTCGATTTTTGACGTTCGAGCCCTTAGCGATGAATCGAATATATGATTCATTCTGTCAATCTCAAAGAGATTTAGAACAAGCTATAATTACAGTAGGAAAAGACAGAAACCATTGAACACATCTATAAAAATTGCCACACAAACACAGTATGAATATCGATTCTACATATTAATTTTTGGTAAACATGTACCAAACACTTGGTAAAATATCTTAAACATGCTACATTTTGAAAAGGTGACGTTGTCGGTATTTGGGTTTAATTTGGGCTAGCTCCGTTCTCTAGATGATACCATTTCAAAAATGTAGGATATTTACTGAAATATCCACATTCGCGGTGTTGCCCTGTTTGTCGGTCCCGAAGAACGAAACTCATCGCGCATCGCACGAAATCCAACCGAGCCAGCGGCGAATCCAGTTGGCCATGCCGGCAATAAGACCGGCGCATTTATTTTTTTAACCTTAAAATCGCAATCTCCATCAAATTGAAAGATTTATGTGCATAATTATGTAGGCTCCCATCATTCTTGGTCGTATATATCTAAAATACTAACTTTACATGAGGTGCGGAACAAAATGGGAACATTTTACGTTTCGTGAAAATATGATCTCGTAGAATCTGAATATGTTGACGTAAATATCGTGTTTTACTTAACAATTATTGAATGCAATGACTGATCTTTTACTTTTATAGTATATCAATTCGTTAATTTGAAGCAAACCAAATTGATTTAACAGATGCCCGTCATGTTTTGTGAACCTACGAAGACATATCTGTCTGCTGACTTGTGCTCCGAACCAATCAGAGTTCCTCGAAGTGAAGAAGACCGAAGTGAATAAGGAGAACAGAACTTACATCACTGAATTGGATATCCATATCACCAATGATTATCTATGGGGAACTTTCAACTCCTGCATTCAAGTCAGCGTACCATCTACGGGTATGATTGATTATTCACGTTATTTATTTAGTCGTTTAATCGGTAAGAGTGTATGCAAGTAATCGCATAATTGTTGTTCGATTGAAGGTACGAAAGCGCTGGATTTGATGTGCGGTCAATGGGGCGCCGTCAAGTGCAATCCGATGCGGTGGTTCTCGTACATGGGCGACAAGACCACATTCAGCGTTCCCTTTCAAATGAACTACATCAACGAAACAGGCAATTCGACCGGCGGCAGATTCACGCCCATGGATCCACCTACGATTCCGTGCAGCCAGTCAGTGGACGTGAGTTATTTTTCATTTTTTGTAACCTTTATATTTGGTCTTTGATTAAAACAACTTCATTGCCTCTTGTATTTTTTTCGCATCTCACTTCGTTTAAAAAAAGACCTTTTTATTGCGTGTCATTGGTCAAAATTGGATTATTCATTTTTGCACAAAAAATCATTCCTGCATAGAGGTTTGACCTGATCTTTTAGAAAAGAATTATTTGCGAAATTTCTCTAAAAAGTTGAAATACATGAAAACTGTGCATTTCCAGACATCATATTTTTTAACAAGGAATCACCTTCTAAAATATGAAAAATCGATTAAATTTTTAACATTACGTCAATAATTGTAGAGTATATTTACCAGTTTTTGTGCATATAAGCGAAAATAATTATTTATGTCAACATTAGGAATCGCCAATTTCACATTGACCATGAAAATGCTTATCAGATGACGAAATAATTATAAAAAATCTCATGTAAATGATGTATGGTTTTGTGTAATATACACAATAAAAATTACAATACAGCAATTACATGCATACGTTTCCAAAATATATCTGGATTTAATATTATAATTACGAATGTCGTTAACGATAAATTATTTATTACTTATGGAGTATGCTATTACTAGATATTATATGACTTTTTTAAGGCCATATACTAAGATAAAACTACGGTATTTTCTAAATCAGAAGACGACAAAACCGAAATCATTTTCAATAGCTTGCAACAAATTCCATAAAATAATTAACTGTTAGCTGATATGGATGTGCTTTTGTTGGAATATCTGATAAGTATATCAAATGTATTGTTTGCATTGTTTGCAAGTGTTGTAATAAAGACATACTTGAAATGAAATTTTTATTTGTAGTACACAAATAAATATTCGTTATTCAAGTGTTTATATATTTTTTTATCATTATGGAACAAAGTTCATTCCTTTTTTATACTAAAAAGAGACATATGCAACAATGAATGCGGAACAATTATGTTGTAGTTATAAAATAAAATGTAATTTAAAAGCAATTATTACTAAATCTTGAATCTAACAAAGTGACGTTTCTGCGAGTTTCGCTATATACCCATAGTCTTTTGTTATTAGCATTACTTACCTTTTAGCGAGATTTAGTAATATTTTCAAAAAGGGTGATTTTATTCTGATGAATAAAAAATAATTTTTAAAAAATTCAAATGAATTGTGTATAAAATTCTTTCTTTGGCCCAACTTTTAGGTTAGAAACAAAATATCGAGATGCGGTTTTCACGAGCTTCTTTAAACGTTATTTAGCTACTTTTCTGATGAAATATTTTTGTTTATTCTATTAGGGTGTGTCGGCGGCGTGCAGTTGTGTGGACTGCGCCCAAAGTTGCCCGGTGCCTCCCCCTCCCGCCCCAAAACCAGCCCCGTTTGTCATCGCTGGCTTCGATGGGGTGTCTTTCCTCATGTTGATCATTTTCCTCGCCGGATCGATGGCCTTTCTCATGTGGATATACGTCTGCAAGCCTAAGAATGACAACATTAGAGGTAGGTGAACGTCTATTCCGAATTTTTGCGGTCAATTGAAAGAGTTGGAGGTCGGAAACGGGATTTCCTCAAGCCTATGGAAAAATTATCTAGGTTAAAATTGCCTTTCTTTTGAGTATGATAATATGCTTTCGGATGATCCTGACTCTAACTATATATTTTTTTATTCTCCAAGAATCGTTGGAATTTAATGTTAGTATGGCATATTTTGTTTCATTTGAAGACTATTCTTTGCGTTATGTTTTGTGTTGTGGACCGTGTTTTTTTGTTTTTTTTACAGGACGTGTCAGTTTCGAACAAGAATTGTTCATTGAGACGAATGATGAATTTGATCAAGGTACAATCATAAACAAATCAAAAATATATAAAACTGCTTTTTGTCACAATCTATATTGTATCTCATACATTGTAATAACCAGCACAAATTAAATTCGACAATTTCTCGATCATTTTTAGACTTGTGAACAGTTTGTCTGCACCTATCGGACATTGATTGTTTTTTTTCAAACATATAAACGTTAGGAAAACATTCTAACAATTACAATTACAGAAGAAAAATTCATAAAAGTATATATATTTTATAATTGCACAAAATTAACATGCAACCTTCTTACTGACATTGGTACAAAGAATTTACTAATTCGCCTGGTATTTAAGTGTCTTTCAGTCTTTGGATGACCTTATGAAAAATTTATTAAAATACCATATGTACAAAATCTCATCCTAACCAGTATTGATATGGCTCATCTGAAAATTGAAAGACACTCAGAAAAGTTACTAATTTTCTGTCCTGTTTGTGTGAATGTTGTGGTTATGTGGAATTTTACATCGTAATCGGGTGGGTCCGCTTTCAACGCTCATATCCACGCTTTATGATTCACATTTTTAGTTTTATTACTTGAAGTTGTATTTCTGGATTTACCGTCTACCTACAACCGTGTTTACTTTGTGCATATTTCTATTTCATTATACCAATTTGCGTAAAATGGAATATGACTAATTTGCAGTGTATAAATATTTATATGTCGGCTCCTAAGAAAGTAGTAACGTTTTCGACATATTCTAATTAAGATTCAAAAGTTGGTTCAAAACGAAAGCTATAGTATTTTACGACGGTGATCTGAATAGTTTCCATCTATGGAAACTTTTCAGACCACTCTCGTATATATTTCTTCCTACTTTTAATAATATACAGGGTGGCGCATCATTTACTGGCAGCTCAATTTTTTTTTTGAAAAACGCTCAGACCCGTCGATTTTGTTTTCGAGGGAGACACAAGTTTGGCAAAAAATCACGTTAGCACGTGCAGCCCCCTAAACGGTGGTGACACCACCCCCAAAATCTTAAATGGAAAGGGGGGTCGAGTGACACCTTATTTTAAAGGTCTTTCAATTCCCTTTATAAAATACATTAGCTTCAGTTCAGTACTTGCGAAGATTTATTGATATAAAGCTTAAAGTAGACTTTAATAGGTACATAGGTGTCCCACTCAAAAACAAAATCCACGGGTCTGAGCGTTTTTCAAAAAAAAAAAACTAAGCTGCCAGTAAATGCGTCTGTTTCGTTTTCGATGCGCCACCCTGTATATTAACAACCAGCAAAAATACACCTACAAACATGACTACTTTGTAATTAGAATACCGTTTTCATTATAAAATTCATAAAATAATCTGCTGTTGATTATTCTTTCGATCCTGTTTATTTTAAAAGTCGTAAATGAATACGTAAATATATATGATTTCACCGGTGATGTGATTCAGTTCAAGATTTGTGGATATGGGTGAATCAGCCTTAGATAAAAGTTCATCGAATATCCAAATACGGATGATAATATTCTAGGACTAGCGTTGAACCGAGAACAATGCTTTTTATAGATATTCGGTTATTGAACCTAGAATATTTTTTTATATTGAACTATCCACGAAGGCAATACGTAAATACATAATACAGGGTGAACACGTTATGGTAGTCATTACTGAGGGAAGGGGAGTCAAAACAAGTCAAAAAGTTCATATGACCCATGGTCCAAAAGTCAATAGATTTTTTTCTAAATGGCTTTATAGTTTACAACTTTAAGTGCTTTAAATCGACCACAATCACCACAATCTTACTAATTATTATAATCTAATCTGACACGTTTTCAAATTGGGTAATTAACAAAGAAATCGCCTTAAGTTTTTCTAAGTTAGGTCAAAATATGAGTCAGTAAGTTTCATTAAATGAAATATTTAAAACACACATGACAACAGCGCATCGGCCTTTCATCACTCTTATCGAACCGGCAATCGATCGCAAACGGTAACAGCGGTTAGTATGTTGTTTTGTTTTTGTTCGCGTACGTCGTCGTGTTTATCTTTACAATGTTCTCGAATCAAGAGTTCGCCGTTTGAACGAGCGTGTACACTCAGGAAGGCCGACGACAGCGAACGAGAGGTTCTGGACGTGCCAGAGGACCACAGAACGACAAGACCGCCGGTTAAGTCTTCAGGCTGTGAGAGAAAGATTTAGTAGTACTCGAGCCATCGCTAATCAGTGGCTTGAAGAGCATTGGTTGATGGTTGGTATGCGTACGGTATATCGCCGAATACGACAGTTTGGCCTTTTTTCTTATCGGCCACATTGGGTGCTACAGCGCGCGGTCATCACTCTTATCGAACCGGCAATCGATCGCAAACGGTAACAGTGGTTAGTATGTTGTTTTGTTTTTGTTCGCGTACGTCGTCGTGTTTATTTTTACAATGTTCTCGAATCAAGAGTTCGCCGTTTGAACAAGCGTGTACACTCAGGAAGGCCGACGACAGCGAGCGAGGGGTGCTGGACGTCCCAGAGGACCACAGAACGACAAGACCGCCGGTTAAGTCTTCTAGCTGTGCGAGAAAAATTTAGAAGTACTCGAGCCATCGCTAATCAGGGGTTTGAAGATTATTGGTTGATGGTTGGTATGCGTAGGGTATATCGGCGAATACGACAGTTTTTCCTATTTTCTTATCGCCCACATTGGGTGCTACAGCGCGCGGTCATCACTCTTATCGAACCGGCAATCGATCGCAAACGGTAACAGTGGTTAGTATGTTGCTGGGCGGGTATTCTTGACTATCATGTAATTGGCACTTTCTAGTTACTCCTCAATTTGTCAGGAGAAGGATACCTTAGCTTTCTAGCTAATAACCTACCAGAACTTTGGAACAGACCTTAGACAACATGCCATTACAACGGAGACAGAATTTGTGGTTTCTTCATTACGGGGCACCACCACACATTTTTAGAGGCGTCATTCAGTATTATCGAAATCGCTGGATCGGTCAAAACGCTCCTGATCCTCTAAAATGGCCAGCAAGATCTCCTGACCTCAATCCGATGGATTTCTGGTATTGGGGAGAACTTAAAGGGATGGTTTATGGTGCTCATTTTAACCCCATTTAAATAATGACTATCATAACGTTTACACCCTGTATACCGTCTAAGAACATATTATTCTAAAACTGTTTGACTCTTTGCAATAAATATGGTCGCCGAAATATAAGGAAAAGGATTGTTCTCCGAGTCGATATGAAGGGCTTTAAGTGGTGTACGTATGTGTGTGACATGCATGGCATGACGGGCATTGGTGATTTGGTGGTGTGTTTTTAGCGGTGGGCAGTAGCATTGCGGCCGAATTGGGGCATCGTTCCGAGGAATTGCGTGCGGCCGTCGGCAGGCGATTAGCGGGCGGCACTCCGCAGAGGCATGCGTCGCAAGTCGCTCTCGGAGAGGCCGTCGAAAACGAGGACAGCCCCTTGCAATCATCCAAGAGATCTAGTACGTTCACCTCACTCATTCACTCGTTACATAGACAGTTATATCTGCGAATTTTCATATTTTTTATCTGTCATCGAATTAAGTGTTTTTATGAAGAGCGTTTTTTCTAATTTCCGTCAGTACTCGAAGCTTTTAAATATGCATATTACACACGTGTCACAAGATAATATTGGGTGATTTGATTATCGCCAAGTACCCAGTCGAGTAAATTTTGTATAATTGTCTGAGAGGGTACAAGTAATATTTTAACGGATGCAAAATATTGGGATCCTTGCATGCCTCTTTCGATGTAGTAACAATACGCATGATTATTCTAGCTTTGGGATCTAAAGCTATTGTCTTGGGAAGTATCATTTTCCGACGTAAGATATTACAACAAATAAGTATTTTTTGATTAGTAATTTACAAAAAATATCTTACGTCGAAAATATGACAAATTGTGGAATAACAATAATGTTTGGGTAATCACAAAGGTGTTTAGGATAACAACGAACACGGGTTATACTGGAACATTTTCGTTATCACTGCACATCATACGGCACTTTTTCCAGCAAATGTTGTGTTCTACAATTTGTTTATGTCTTGACTTGGGATCGTCGTTCAATTTCATCGAGCGAACAAATATTTGCTATTTCGATACTCGTTTAAGTATTTGTTTTTCGATTACTTGATCTTTTTTTACTTTAAGGATTTCCAGTTAACACAGCGATACTTCCTGATGTAGTTTATTTTGGCAGAGAACGATTCATTAACAGAATGTTTATGTCAGAATCAATATCTTTACAGATTTTATGTTATCCTCACTACCTAGTACTTTGTCATTCATATATTAGTAAAAATCGGTGAGATATTGACTTTCGGCTTGTCTGTAGATTTTTAAATCGACCCATGTAACTAGTATATTTCTTCGTCGCAATCAGGTGTAGCGTCTGAGGCCGCCCACGAGCTGGACTCGCATTCGATCAACAAATCCTCGGAAGATTACGAGAAACCGTCGTCGTTCATCGAGAAATTGGGCGCAAACACGGACTTGTACCTGCAAAGGGGATTCGAAAAATGGGGCACATACTGCGCGCAGAAACCGTGGCTGATACTGTTTCTGGGAGCATGTCTGGTCGTCACTTTAGGACACGGCGTTAAATACTTGAAGGTTCATATTTTGTCTGTTTTATTTATTAGATGAGGATTCTTTGTTGGAAAATGAGAAAACTGCTTTATTCCAACCCGATTTTTGAAATAAATAACGTTTAACCTGGTTCTGAGACTAAAACGAACATGATGATACTAGATGGTTAACTATAAATTTTTCTCTATAGAAAAATTTCTAAAAGGTATCCAAAGAAGAAGACGCTTTACAAAGGTAAGAGATGTTTAAGAAGGTGATGCCTTGTTGAAAAATATGAAAAAAAGTTTCTATAAACATGGGTCCGAAATTGCAGAGTTTTCAAAGTGCATGGTGATAAATTTGAAAAAAAAATTAAAACTTTTAGAGAACTTTCGCTAATTAATGTTTATTTTCTAGAAGTGGCGCGCAAATATCAAAACTCTATGCATGAATGATTTTTTATGCAAAAATTAAGAAAGTAATTTTGTCCAGTGACATGCAATAAAACGGTTTTTGATCTCGAAAACGAATGTCACGTGCCAAAATCACTATTTATCACTTATCCGTAATTTGAATTTCTCTTCACTGATAACAGAGTTCCCATTCCTAAGCCCAACCCTTTTCAATGATTTTCTTTTTGCAAATTTAATAGTCTATTGATGGTGTAATTTCACTCGTATTATATCTTTCTTTCTCAGCGATTCAGTACGGTGTTGACGATCAGCAAAAAAAGACTGTAGTTTGTCTCCGTTAGCTGGTTTCCTATAAAACATATCTTCTTCAAGCCCACTCAAGATACCTTCTGCGTGATTCGATTTCTGTTTCCGTTGAGGTCGTGGTGCAGGGGACTAGCACCCTTTTTTGTGTAACTTAAGTTTAGTCATTTTGGTTTGGGTGCTACGTCTTCCATTTTTTTATTGGATTTTAACCCTTAGCGGTAAGTTCTTTTTTATATACCTTCGGACCACGTGCCTTAATGCGTGTCCTGATGACGTTCCTTCAATATCTGCTTTCTTTTAGTCAATAGAATCATCATCCTTTTTCCTCCAGTTGGTTGCATCTTGTTGCAATTTTGAAAATTGGTGGAAGCCATCACCGAAAAAGTAACATCAACAACATTTACATAGTTCAAAGGTGACTGTTTGGTGCGCCATATCCTCTAGCGGTATCATTGGGCCGTATTTCTTTCAAGATGAAAACGGCCAGGCATTGACAGTCAATTCCGAGCCGATACAAGTACGTGATTGACACTTTTTTGCTCCTATTGTAAGAACATAACGTCGTTTCAACAGAAACACTGGAGGAGCTTAAAGACAACATTCGACGAGAAACAAACAACATCAATCTGGAAGTCTGCAAAAGAGTGATGTTTCAGACTTTGCGCGCGCGAAGGGATGGCAAATATTTGAACGGAATGATATTTAAGAAATAAAACACGCCGAATTACCGAATATATTGATAGTAATAAATATTTCTTTTCATTAAGTTTGTATTTTTTTTCTTAAATCAAACTGGACACTTTGTACTTTACGGTTCAATAATTAATAAGCTAAAGACTGTGTTTTTTGTTGCTTCAATTTGGGTACATCCTTCCAAAACGTCACTTTATGGCATCGATTCTCTTCGACAAAACTACTGTAATTCTGATGAAACGAATGTGGTCCAGGTAACGACGGATCCTGTGGAATTGTGGGCGTCTCCGACGTCTCGCAGCCGCGTCGAGCGCGAATATTTCGACAGCCACTTCGAGCCGTTCTACCGCACCGAACAGATCATCATCAGGGCGAGGAACCTCTCCGAAATACACCACAATACGTCCGACGGTATCGTCGAGTACGGTCCGGCTTTTAACAGGGATTTCCTGTTGGCCGTGTTAGATTTGCAAGAGAGAATCAAGAAAATCGGCGAAGGAGAATGGTACAGGTGAGGCAAACGGACATTTTTACGTTACCTTTTATCGTTTTAAATCGTTCATACTATACTTGTTGCGTCTACATATATTGGAATTGTTACGAGTGTTGCGTTTGTCTAGCTTGGACAAGATCTGTTTGGCGCCGTTGAGGAGCGTAGGTCAGACTGAGACTGACGTGAACGAGTGCATAGTGGAGAGCATTTGGGGATATTACAAGGACAGCATAGAAGAATTCAACAAAACCGAGCTGGATCCTGCTAAATATACCACCAACTATTTGGATCACTTCATAAAATGCGCCGCGTGAGTATATCTATGTTTCCTTCTTAAATTGGTGTATAGCTAATTTTTTATTACGATTTTTCGTTCCTTTGTGATTCGATATTGTGGGAGGCAAACAAGACTCCAGATATTTTTGTCTTTCTCAGCGATTCTCCGCGGGGCTAATGCCGCGTTGTGTTATGAATGGAAATCTTGAAAACGTGTACGTGTTTTCATGCAAACAATAACATTACATTAATACATATAAGTGTAGAGATGGGACAGTTACATTATTGCTTCCTAACACTAAGTTCAAATTGTCGTGACGATAGGGCTGGAGCAGTTTGCCGCCATTGTGAAAAATGCGTTTGCTCGAAAATCTGAAAAACCGTCAATCACAGGCAAAAAATAATAGAAACACTTTTGAGTGAATTAAATTCTTTGTCATTTTGCTTCTATAAAAATTTGTCAACACGTTACGAGAAATGTAATCATATTTTCGCTTATAATGACTAATCTAACAACTTAAACGTTTAAAGATTATTTATCTTATTGTAAATAAAATTTTCTGCAAAAAACAAATTACGTTTTTTCTACAGACTGAAGGAAACTGAAGTCTAGCATTACCTACAACATCAAAATCATTACAGCAGTTGCTGAAATTGCTCATCTCCAATACACATGTTTATGAGAGCGAGATACTTCATTTTCGGAATGAAAATATTACAAAGTATTACATTTTCCAGACTTGTACGTTCTACTAAAAAAAAGGATTCATTTTAACGTGCTAATGTTCTACAAAAAATAAGTGTTTTACAGTCGTAGATACGTAATTTAGCCGTTATAAGCAGAAATGCAGCAAAGCATAAAAGCAAAACGATGAAGGATTTAATTTTCCACAAAATTGTTTCAATTAATTTTTTGCTTAGGATCGTTAGTTTTCAAAAATCCATCACGTCTATATGAACTCATCATTAGGAAACGATATTCTGATACCACCAAAAAAATTTACTGTCGTCCAAACTATACGATTTTCTTTTAAAACGATATTAACATAACAAATAAACTATCTAATATTTTTGCAAGTCAAATATAGAAGCAAAAGGGTCGTGAGATCTTATTAAAAAATCGGTTTGTAAAATTGTATCTAATGATATTTCAGGAATCCATACGATCCTCTGAACTGCATAGCGCCTTACGGCGGTCCCGTGGACCCCGCAATCGCCCTAGGCGGTTTCCTGCAACCGGGCGACACTTTAGCCAAAGAGCCGCACTACGAAAAGGCCACCGCGGTGATTCTCACGTTCATCCTTCAAAATTATCACAACAAAGTAAGTGCTCGTTCACGATCAACTTGTTTTTTCAATTTTCAAATATACTCGTGATAATTTGATGTTTGTTTTGCAGTCGTTGTTGTCGCCGGCGATGGAATGGGAGAAGGCGTACGTGGAGTTTATGCGAAATTACACGGAAACGGAAAAACCCGATTTCATGGACATCGCGTTCAGTTCGGAACGATCCATCGAAGACGAACTGAATCGAGAGAGCCAGTCTGACGTGCTCACCATTTTGATCTCTTATCTGATCATGTTCGCGTATATCGCCGTCTCCTTGGGACAAGTCAACACTTGCTCCAGGTTTGTATGCCAAATATTATCAGATGATTCTATTGTCACCTAAATGTTTCCCTACTGACATACATTTTTTTTATTAGTGTTTAATTTTATTGACATTTAACCAATTCATAATTTTTTCAATATCAATATTTAACAGTTCTAAAGCAGTGTCCAAATGCGTATGTGCTATATATATATATATATATATATATATATATATATATATATATATATATATATATATATATATTTTAACTTGTTCTTGTCACACATTTGTGTGTATTTTATATAATTTTGACCATTGTACCATCTATCCAGCTTTCACCATGTCACTGAGTGTTTCCTTCATCCTGAACGTAAACAACAATTAGCATATCCTCACATACTACTGTAAGTTAAGTCAATTTAAATGCAGCTCCTGATGATGATGGCAAAGTCCATTGAAAGCTAGAGAGAATAAAAAAGTATAAAGAGTCCTCTTTGCTTAAATTTTGTCGAAGTACCCAACAAAAGACGGAAGCTTTAATTTTTCACCTAACTGGTCTAGACGACAATGACCACGTCTCTATATATATATATATATATATATATATAAAATATAGGTGAAAATTAAAGCTTCCGCCTTTTGTTGGGTACTTCGACAAAATTTAAGCAAGGAGGACTCTTTATTCTTTTTTATTTTCTCTAGCTTTCAATGGTCTTTGCCATCATCATCAGGAGCTGCAATTACATTGATAACAGTAGCAACAATTGTGTAAAATGAATTTAAATTAACTTACAGTAGTATGAGGATTTTGGTACATGGTACAATGGTCAAAATTATACAAACTACACACAGCTGTATGACAAGAACAAATTAAAAACAGATTAAAAATATTTAGAACGAAAGTTAAGCATTACATCGTGAAGCCACTTGATGATTGTACAAAATGGTGGGCATAGAATCATGAATAAGATGAACCTTTTGACAGATGGCCGAAGGTCCGTCCATCTATCAATATTCTTTAATATTTTCCACATGATTTTAGAATTATTTTTATTGCTATCGATCTTCTAATCATAGTATTTTTTATTTTCCCTCCGGAGAAGTGCTACACACTCATTTCTTGATTTTGTATATTGTTTCCAATCATTTAAAAAGAAAGTCAAGTCCTTAATGAGAAAACCCTTTACAAGAAGTAAAATTACGGAAAATGAATTCAAAAAATGTGCAAACAACATTGTCGTTGCTTAATAAATCTTCAACAAACAAAACTTTTATAATTGCTTCCTTTTGTAGGCTTCTGATAGACAGCAAAGTGACGCTGGGTCTCGGTGGTGTCCTGATCGTACTTACCTCCGTGATATCGTCCGTCGGTCTGTTCGGATTCGTCGGAATTCCGGCCACGTTGATCATCATCGAGGTAATTTCCGTCGTTTCTTTGAATGCTCGTTTTTCGACGATGTGACGAAAATCCGATTATTTCCATAGGTGATACCGTTCTTGGTTTTGGCCGTCGGCGTGGACAACATCTTCATCTTGGTGCAGACCCACCAGAGGGACGCGAAAAGACCGAACGAGTCGCAAGCGGAACACATCGGGCGCATCCTAGGACAAGTCGGGCCTTCCATGCTGCTCACCAGCGTATCGGAAAGCTGCTGCTTCTTCCTGGGCACGCTGTCGGACATGCCGGCGGTCAGGGCGTTCGCCCTATACGCAGGTTAGCAGACAACAAAATGAATGTCGATAAAAGCTTTTAACATGATTATTTTTACCGAATCGTTAAAGTCAGGCAAATAGCCTTATCGTCTTTGCTGGCACATTGTCTGACATTTGTAGCAGAAATTTGCTAATATGATTAGACTAAAAAGAGGGTGCCAATTTCGTTCACTATACCAAGAGTACTCGCTATCAAATATCCGTTCCTCTGCAGGTATGGCTCTGTTGTTCGATTTTCTGTTGCAAATCACCTGCTTTGTGAGTCTCCTGTCACTGGACACGATGCGGCAACAGTCGAACCGTTTGGACATTTTCTGTTGGATCAGAGGCAGCAAAAAGAACGAACCCCATGGAGGCGCCGCTGGCGGAGGTCAAGAAGGCCTCCTTTACACATTTTTCAAAGAGGTCTACGTACCGCTGCTCATGAAGAAATCGGTATGTTATTTCCTTTTTTATGGACATTCCGTTTTGTAAATAGTAACAATATTCTTAGGATTTTTTTTATACTTGATTGAACCTGAAGCTTGTAAACAGTCGTGGATTCACCGAGCAACGGGGACAATTTTGAACAGTTTTTATAAAAACTATCCATACAACTTTGTAATGATTTTTTTAAAATAATTTTTAATACTTCTTGAATCGGTTTTTTCCAATCGGTCAATATTCAATCATTTCCCTCCATTCTAGGTTAGAGTAATCGTGATGATAGTGTTTTTCGGATGGTTGTGCTCGTCAATAGCTGTCACACCAAAAATCGAAATTGGTCTAGACCAAGAATTATCTATGCCCGAAGATAGCTACGTCCTAAAATACTTCAAGTCTTTAAAGGAATACCTCAGCATAGGTAAGATATACATATTCAACTAATCGTCGTGGTTATTTTTATATGATACATCGAAGTGATATTTTACTTAAATCGTATCTGCAAAACGATGTTTTACAGTCTAAAGTTTTACCTTTGCATACGTTTGAATGAAAAGATCGTAACTTGTGATTTATGTACAATAGGGCCTCCGGTATATTTCGTGGTGAAGAACGGCCTTGACTACAGCGAAGAGCCGATCCAGAACAAGATTTGTTCTGGACAGTACTGCAACAATAATTCTCTGGTAACGCAAGTGTTCGTGGCCAGCAAAATGCCGGAATCCTCGTACATTTCCCGACCGAGTTCCAGTTGGATCGACGATTATTTCGATTGGTCAGCCTCGAGTGATTGTTGCAAACGCTACACCAACGGCAGTTTTTGCCCCCATACCGATCCTGGTAAGAATCTTACTTAGCAAATCGCTTACAGTGTTCTGTAATTAAAAAAAAATAACGCAAAGATTAGCAGGTTCTTATATAGGGAACATTGACAGAATAATTTAAATAGCTACATTTTTAACACTTTGAAACTTGACAATAATACTAGTAAAATATAATTTTCTATCAGTTTATTATTTATCTATGTATTTATCATTATGTACTCAAAGAGAGAATAGCTGCTTCTGAGCGATGTGATTAATCTTGTTTGTAATGACGTAAATGTAAGAGACGTGTGACGTTTTTTAGATGGCGATTGCGAGGAGTGCGAGATCGCGTTGTTGCCGCGCACGAAGCGTCCCGACGCCGAGGACTTCAAGCGGTACGTGCCGTTCTTTTTGAAGGACAATCCGGACGATTCTTGCGCGAAAGCGGGTCACGCCGCGTACGGATCGGCCGTCAATTACAGGGAGAATAGATCGAGCCATCTGGCGGAGGTCGGAGCATCCTATTTCATGGCCTACCACACGATATTGAAAACGTCCGCCGATTATTACGAGAGCATGAGAGCCGCTAGAAAGCTGGCCGGCCAAATGACCGACACAGTTGGAGTGGAGGTGAGTTATGTTACTGTCTTTCTACACTTCATTAAGTAATATAAGAAACAAGTGTTTAACAAATCTTAGGAACGAAAAGAAAAAATATGAAAACAAAATCGATAGCAATAAAAATAACAGTAAAATGATGTGGAAGACACTAAAAAACATCGTATCTCCCATTAATGTACTGCCAGCTGTCGAGAAGCTCTTAGAACGAATCATAGTCATTGAATATATTGAAGAAAATAAGATATTGACAAAATTTCAAGCAGGATTGAGAAAAAATATTTTACTGAAACAGCAATGCAAATGGTAGTAGAAGAATGGGGGCGAAATATGAATGAAAAAAGTTTACAGTAACATTGTTTTTAGATTTCAAGAGAGCATTTGAGACCATTGACAGGGAGAAATTGTTAACAAAATTGCATTGCTATGGATTTCAAGGTTCAGTATTCAACTTATTACGAAATTATTTAATCAATAGAAGTCAAAGAACTAAAATTGGCAATACATTATCAAACATTAAAAACATTTCGGTAGGTGTGCCACAGGGTAACAAATTAGGTCCATTACTATTTATTTTATGTATTAACGATATTCCTGATATTTTACATGACTGCAAAATTCAACTATTTTAATATATATATATATTAAATATATAGGGTGACTTCGAAGTTGAGTCATTTATTTTAACAGTGAGTAGATCTGATCAAAAGAAATTTACCATTTTTCTGATAAAATTAAAGTAACAAAGTTATAGCCCTTTGGAAGTTTGAGTACCGCCCTGTCTCAATAATAATATCATGTGCTCGTGTTTGGCAACAACGGATATAATCCGCCTTATCGGTTCATCGCATCGGAAACAAAAAAGCGAAAGAATTTGGAACGATGTTTTTACCATTATTTTATTCAGTTGTATACATACAGTCAGTGTCAGTCGGTAACGCGTATGAATAGTGGTGTCTGTTGCGTGGCTCAAACGAAATAAAAAATGGCACATGTTTATGCGGATCGGTTTCCCAATCGAATGCAACCAAACCCTCGTGCCTTTGTTAATGTAGTACAACGGGCTCGTGAATCAGGTGACTTAAGACCTCACAGGGAACCTCACGATCAAATACAGGTCCGCAGTGAAATACTTGTCGGGAGGATACTTTATAAAACAAGGTAAAAAAATTTTTTTAATTTTTTTTTTATTTTTACACATATTTTGGTTTATCTTCCTTCTACAATCATTATCTGAAAATTAAACTCAACTTCAAAGTCACCCTGTATATATATCAAATAAGGACATTGAAACTGCAATAGAGCTGTTAAATAATGATATGAAAAACATAATAAATTGGTTAAATGTAAATAAACTTAAACTAAACACAAACAAAACAAAATATATGCTAATAGGAAAATGTTTAGATCAAAATACGATAAATCTTACTATTAATCATGAAAAAATTGTGTCAATCGAATCATTTAAATATTTGGGCATATACGTAGACAGTAAATTAAAATTTGTAAAATATCAGGAATATCGTTAATATATAAAATAAATAGTAGTGGACCTAATTTCCTACCCTGTGGCACACCTACCGAAATGTTTGATACTCTATTGCCAATTTTAGTTCTTTGACTTTTATTGATTAAATAATTTTGTAATAAGTTGAATACTGAACCTTGTCAATAAAGTTCCATGAGAATGTTATCGTTTCATTCTCGATGTAAGATTACCTCATTACCAAAAAAAAAAATAAGTTGTGGAAATAATTTTTTCTGGGTGTAAAATTTCTAAAGACATATATTGCAATTCTTGCAATAATTGACGATTTGTTTGTTGGATGCGTTTCAGGTGTTCCCGTATTCAATATTCTACGTGTTCTACGAACAGTACCTGACGATGTGGCCCGATACTCTGTTCAGCGTCGGCGTCAGTTTACTCGCCATATTCCTGGTCACTTTCTTCCTCATGGGACTGGACGTATTTTCCAGTATCACCGTAATCATCACTATCACCATGATTCTCGTAAATCTCGGAGGACTCATGTACTGGTAAGTTATGATTAATAGATTTTTACATCTTCCTTATTCGCTGAACATTTTAACATCCTTATTTTTTATTGATCGAAAAAAAAAAACGCACGAATTGATCGTGTACTAATACATTAGTTACACTTTATTATTCAATATAACAATTGCGTTGTATTCCTTTTAGCTTGCTTATTACTTTTTATTTAATCTCATTTCTCTAGTCGCTCAATTTCAGTAACGACGAAACATACACAAATTATCGTTGAAACCGAATAAAACGGAGGTTAAAGTATTCAGTTTTTTCTAGATGTGTTTTGTTGTAGGTGGCACATAACGTTGAACGCCGTCTCGTTAGTGAACTTGGTGATGGCGATCGGCATTTCGGTGGAGTTCTGTTCGCATTTGGTGCACAGTTTTTCGACGTCCGTGAAGGCGACGCGTCTGGAAAGGGCGGCCGACGCTCTCACCAGAATGGGCAGCTCCGTTTTCTCGGGCATCACGCTCACCAAATTCGGGGGCATCATCGTACTCTATTTCGCCAAGAGCCAGATTTTCCAGGTCAGTCAATTTTATTCGGATATTCTTACGATTACAAGAACTTTTATAGAAATTCGAGTCGATAATTTAGATTTTTTTTATAGCTGAATGTTGGATGAGTCACATACCATTTTTTTCTAATACGGCTAACGATACTTTTTTCGAAAAACTCTTTTATACTTTTTCATGTGTTACTTGTAGGTGTTCTATTTCCGAATGTACCTGGGCATCGTGTTATTTGGCGCATCTCACGGACTCATCTTCCTGCCTGTACTTTTAAGTTTTATAGGTGAGTTAATTGTATCCGTTAAGGTGTTGCTTGTGATAGAACGCTGTTAAAAATGCACAAACTTTACAAACCAGTATGTTTATTTATAAACTATTGTAGGACACATCCTGCTTTGTGAAGCATATAGCTTTAATAACAAACGACTAAAAAATGCTCGCATCTTTTTCAAATGTACGGTAAGCTTTTCGTCATTTCCAGTAATTCGGATCGAATAAATAATAAAACTATTGAAAATATCAATATAATCAAAACACTTTGAGTCCTTTTCATATTTCCTGAAAATGGAATAATACCTTTTTCTGTTTTTACAGATTGTGTAGCTTGTTCATTCGATTAACCTTCCAAATTTCTGAAAACATTTCTGCCCCTTCACGAGATTTTTAACTGAAGCTTTTGGCGCAGCATCTTGCATGTATTTTGATATATTCCAAAAAAAAATGCACAGTTAACAGTTTCATCCGTAGGCTAAGACAAGAAATATTACTCTGCAGTGTGCTTATTACCATAATCTGCATTTATAGTTTATAAAATTGCACTGTTCGAAAATCTTAAATGTAGATTCTTAGTTTTTATACCACATATACCACGGAAACATTCTATACTTTATGTTGTTTGTCACTATTGACGTAATTTCGATTTTTAATCGTCGGTGTGCATGCCTGGAAGTTGTGAATCGATTATAGAATGTTTCCTTAGTTGATAGATGTTTCGGTGGTGTCATTTTGGGTTTGTTTTGTAACGATGTTGTTGTGTTTGATGTTGTTTAGGGTCTCCGATGAATAAGGAGAAATTGGCGAAACACAGGACTTTAAACGGGGAGCAAATCCAGGAGACGCGTTTCGGCAGAGTAAGATTCCTTTGTCTTATTTCTCACATACATTTCTCGCCATCTCCTGTCACATCATCATAAACATTTATTGTTAACCATTCCTTTCCTTTACTGATGTAGCTAAAAATTACAAGGGCACTAACCAAAAACCTCTTATGATTGAATCGTTTTCATTTTCACACTAACTTACATTAGCATTATTTCAATTAACTTTTAATCACTAACAACGAATTGTTAAGATGTATAAGTGTAATGTTGTATCCAAAAGCGACTTATGGGATAATTTAAAAACGATGGGAATATTTTTAAAACAAAACATGACAAAAGTGTCTACAAACTTATGTTCCATTACTGAGATACAGGGTGTTATTGATTGAGACTGAATAATGACAATACAGGACATGCAATTTTCAATGTCAACTCCATTATGTTTTCATAGTAGAGAGAACCGAAGTTTTTTTATATAGATTTCACCCAGTTTTTATCCAAAAAGGATACTTTGGAAAATTTTCTATTATTTTTCCACCTTATATGTTTTGATTTTCCCGTTAGGCGTGATGTCGTCGCGAGCCTCCTCGCTCCGTGATCGCGACCAGCTGCACCGCGGACCAACAACCTTGGACATCGACGAGATCGAGGTCGAGGGGGGGCCATCGTCTCCTCTGTTGCTGCCAACTGCATCGCACCCTGGGTACAATGCTTTAGATCGATCGCCTTTCGATCGCGTGCGAACAAATTAACGCGACGAACAGATATGTTCGTCATTGGCCGCTATTGCTTCACTGTCTATCGTATATAAATACATTTATTCCTAAGGGACCAAAGAATGCGTCAGTCTCATTACATTGGTTCAGAAATAAGAAATGCGAGACGTACACCTTTTGGTTTTTGCAAATTTTGTTTACAAAAATCTCAACCTCGTATGTACTTTTTGAACAATTGTAACTTGAGTCCTCAGTCCCTCTTAACGTTGAATATAAACGTCAAACTGTCGCATTTATTCAACCAATTTTCCTTCAACAATATCGCAGTCGTGTACACGTTTGTATCGTTCCTGGGAATAACGCGTACAGTCTCCGAAAATCAAAAGTTCGCCTCGTGTTAACCTATCAAACAAAACAATTAAGTAAGCCTAAAACACTGCTCGGAGACTTGTAAAGGTTTGATCTGCAATTTAGATACTTGGACACCTCAAAAATAATGATTTTTAACCGAGTTTTCGGGCACCAATGAGCCCGATGAACGGTTTACATTTCGAAAACGCTCAGTTTAAGAGAGCTATGTCTAAGGTCGTTTTTGTTTGAAATTGTCCGGAAAGCCTTGAAAGAAATTTATCCGGATCGAAAAAAATGCTGAAATTTGCCAGCTGTGAAAACTGTTCTCGTAAAGTCATTATTTCTTTTTAATTTAACCTACAAGACTCAAAAGAGTATCGAGTATTACTTTTAATTTTCGCTGACTGTACCTGCTCTCATGATAAATGATACGGCAACGTGATAACATTGATATTGCTGGGTAAGAACGGATTGTGCAGTATATTCTAAACGTAGTAAGTTTTTATTTTACAAGAGTGATATTTTTAATTATAAGAACGAGGTTGTTGTTATCGTTGTATGGGTGTTTGTAACTCCTTACGTAGAAAAAATACTTTTAAACATAATTGTTTTGTTAGAGTGACTTCGCCCTCAGAATTTTGTTATATATATTTTGATGTGATGTGGAACATGGACTATTTTGTAGCTTAAATAATAAATAGTAGCAAAATTTTGAAGTGAAAGGAATGATAGTGAATTTGTAGTCGCGTTATTTTTTTAGCCAAAGTGTATGGATAAATTATGTGTCGCTTGGAACCCTCTCGTCAAATGTTTACGTCAATATCTCTGCGTTATTTCGATTGTAAATAATGTATCAAGGAATAGGGTGCTATCAAGTTGTTCATGTGGATGAAACATGAGAAAATAGGGTAAATAAGTATGGTGTGTTAACGCAGTTCAATGGTTAAATGATATGTTGAAAGATTAAGGTTTATTTCTAAAAATTTTGATAGGTAGCGGCATTTTATGATATAAACAAGCGTGTACTTAACTGAACCATTTTTTCAAATTATTTAATTAGCAGTATTCGTGTATTTTATACCCTCCAACGTGCCTTCAAAGTTTTTAGTAATGATCGTATATGTATTTTTCGTTAAAAGAGAATCATAAAAAATCGTTTAACCAATCAGTATAAACGGACCTTGAAAGATATTTTTGAATTTTGTAAAATAAAACTGTTTGAATTGTATGCATATGTAAGAAGACTGGATAGAAAACACCTTAAACAGGATGTTTCCATATCATGCTGCTTTGTGATTTAAAGATTTTTTTGTAAGCAACTCCATGGAATTTCTAATCACTTTTTTGTACTTGTCCACGTAATTAAAATTAATAATAAAAAAAATATCGTTATACAGAGTGCAACCTAACAAGAACGTATAGTGAAACAAATTTAAATAGAAAAGATCAATCATATAGACATGTGTCGTAAAAAGCCTAGTTTCCAAAGTATGGTTTATACAAATTTTGATTTTTCATTAGCATCTCGAAAATTTTTATGCCGATGCTGACAGTTATTTTTTTTCGGATTACAGTTATGACACACTTTTGATTGGATTTAGAATATTATTTAACAAATAATACGTATGTATGAAATTCCCTAATCAGTTTTGCAAACGCCCGGAATACAGACAATATTAATTATTGAACACAGTTCGCAATGTTGCTCATAATTTTGTCATTACATTTACATCTGTCATCTTAACAAAACTTCTGGTATTTTCCTAAGTTTTCAGAAAACCGACGTCGAAAAATTGTTGCTGCAATTTATGAGATACCATTTTTTTAGATATGAAAAGCTACCAAGAACCAAAAACATTGTATCTTAACAAAATATATATATACATTTTTTTTGTCCATGTTATTTCTGAGACTGTCTCCGAGACGCCGCTGCAATTCATAATTATCTTTTAGTTAGTGGATATAGAATAAAACCGCACAAAGATCTTTGAGGTGTCAATAGAAAACAAAGATTTTTATAAAACTTTTACACCCTGTACCTTGTAAACGAGACTTTTTAGGACGCATGTCTATATGATTGATCTTTCTTAAATTGGGTTTAGACATGCTTCCTTGTAATTACGACCTAAGTAACACCCTGTATAGTCAAATTCTGTTGAAATTCAGCAAGGTTGTTTATAACTTATGAATGCGTCGTTATTTGTGTATTTGTACGTTTTTTTTTTGCTGATGTCCGTTATGATAAATTAGTGAATATCAAAAAAAACACCTGTCCTTTTTCATTTCACATTCCAAACATTGTATCTTCTGGGTTATTTGTTGTATTTATGTAGATACAAATATTAGTATAAGCAGAATGTATGAAATAGTCACTGTTTGAATATACGTATTTTATATGAACTGTTTGGTTTTTTATTTTATCAAAAATATACCTTACAAAAAAATCTTACATTCAGTTCCTCTTTGATTTAACAGAATCATTGAGATTTGGTTTCACCTAGAGTGGAGTCATAATTTATATTCTCTTGTATAAACATTCAAATTAAACTTAATTTCTACCAATAGAAAACAAATAGTAGATTGAAACATTGTATGATAGCACCTGTCAGTAGTTTTTCGAGTTTACCGGCGGCAAAACACTAAAAATGCAATCCATCATATACATATGTATATTTTCGTTAATAGTATGATTTTTAACTAAAGTCTAGATAATTAATTACAATAGCAATCAACGTTACTTCAACAACTTGATACAGTCATCTCATCCTGACTTGCAAGAGAAAATGTTTGAAAATTTTCAGATCCGTCTCTGTCCTCAAGCCTCCGGTTCTCGGTTTTATAGCTGTTTTATGATTATCGGCAAAAAATGTAAATGAATACAATATCTTTGTCGTCTACTATACAACGTTATTAAAAATTCTCATTTATTTTAAAAAACAGGATGTCAACCCTAACACACAAGTGATAAATATGCAAGACTCACCTAGTTTGCTGCACAGATATCCTATTTCCCTCTGAAGAGTTGGAAGTAGACATAATTTAGACTTTGGATACACTTGACACCCACTAAAGCACCACCGAGACACAAACGAGAACCCTATAGTGAACACCACTATTAAAAAAAAATAGCTTAACCGAATAGAGCTCGGCACGGAGAGCTGTGAACGCGTGGACATGCCGCTACGCCGACGGTTGCCGAGAGACTGAAGCGTGTGAGTCTGTGAGTGCTGTAACTGCTGTACCTCGGTGCGGCCGGGTAGCATAGCCACGCCCCTTTCCAGCTCCCACTCCGCGCGTCTGCTCCCGGTCAACGTAAACATCGAGTCGCTTCGGGATACTGTCAGATAAGAAAACGCAGACCCGCAGAGTGGGACTGGTGAGGGGCGTGGCTGTACTACCCGGCCGCAGCGAGATAGAGCACTCGCACGCTTCAGTCTCTCGGTGTGTCCACGCGTTCATAGCTCGGTGCAGAGCTCTATTCGGTTAAGCTATTTTTTTAATAGTGGTGTTCACTATAGGGTTCTCGATTGTCTCTCTGTGGTGTTTTAGTGTTGTGACGTGGGTGTCAAGTGTCTCCAAAGCGGAAATTAGGTCTACTTCCAACTATTCTGAAGAAAATAGGATACATGTGGGCAAACTATAGGTAAGCCTCGCATACTTGTGTGTTAGGGTTGTACTGAGGTATTTATTTTTGTCTGGCTTTATTTTAAGAAATGCCAAAAAACTAATGGCACTGCATGATGGTGTTTTTAAATGTGCCCGAAGTGCACAACATTTAAAAAAATACGACCCTGTACCTAATAGCATCTTTTTCTACAACTTGAACGATGTATCATGGTATCAAGATGTCTATTTTTGGCTTCCTCAAACTGAATGCCTAATATCTCTGCGTATCAGACTGATACTAATAAATAGTAGAGTAAACTGAAAATCGTACTTCTCCTATTAATGATCATGTAATTTTAGATCAAATAGTTAATGACTATATTTATATAATAAATATTGTTTTTTCCAATTGTAAGAAGTATTTTATCCTATAAAACTGGGCATTTATAAATGTTCCGCCGCATAGACGCCAGGCGGCGCACAATGTAAATAACAGCTTTTGTTTAGTTTTTTGGCAAACATTGCTACGCCTCAAATTTTATATATCTCCATTGGTATTCCTCAATATTTTATTCAAAATTTCATTTTTTATAACATTCTATCAAAATAGCAGAGGTGGCAAGATCGTCCGATGAGCTGGCAACGCCGCAACACAGGTGGCATGAATGACAAGGTTATCTGTCAAAACGGATGGCTATCCCGGGGTACCGACGGAGTCATTTAGAACGACAAAGCGGCAATTTTCATTTGCATTTTTTTAAGTGTTGTGCAACGATTTCGGCAAAAATTTCACTACGGATAGTCTTCTAGAGTCTAGTAGAATACATTTCATTCATTGCGTGGCCGTTATCCTTACTCGGACCCACAAAACAAATGGAAAATGGTAGGTATCATGTTCCCTATAATCCTTAGAAGACAATGTCACCTTGCTGCGTCAACGGCCTATTGTGTTGCCAGATTCATTATTTTATTCTTAGGTGGAGCGGGTGAAAAGCTGCTGTTGTATCTAATGTAATATTGAAGTAATGCAAGTTATTCTAAAATACTACAAGGCTAATTGAATAGATTTTTTTTTAAATTCAGCGATACTGGCTAACATCAAGGAGCAAAGCAGATGTTTGTCTTGCTATCAAAAGAAATTGCAGCAAGTCTGACAACGCAGCATAGAGACTGGTTTTTGACAGCTGTCTGTGCAACGTTTACCTTATCCTTCGAAAGAAAAGTCATATCGGTGATCGACGACGTGTAAAAACAGAGAGACAGGTGTGCAAAAACATGAAAATGACCACTTTTCGCCATTCGACTGGCTGAAGCAAACCCCAAAACTCGCTTTTCAAGACGATCCCGTACCGGGCCATGGTTTCCTGAAAGCTGGTGTTCGAGAATCAACAACGATCTGTGATAGAACCACCGGAACGGAGAGGAAAATCAGCGCGAACACAACCGCCGTATCAGAAAAGCGTTGAATGTGAAAAGGGGGTCCAGTTGACGGGATGTTGTACGGTAAGCTGCGGATCCACACCTGTCGGGTGATCCTTTTGACGTCGCTGGTCTGGTTCCTCATCGACGTAGTCATCCTGTCTTTCTATTCGGAATGTTTGGGGGGCTCCTGTAGAACCAAAGAGGAACGCTCGGAGGCTGAGGCGCTCAAAGGGATTGTAGCGGGCTACGACGAGGCCGAAAGGGCCCCGCAGGGAGCTCCGATAAGGAGGTGAGTAGTCCAAAATAATACTGGTCATTGCTTTTGTTTTGCTTGTTTTTGACAAGCTGGGGTCAAAGATGGATATTCAAAAGGGCTTGAAGGGTATCATCTAACATTCATCAAGGGAATACCCAAGATTGCGTTTAGTTAGGGAAGATAAATTCAAGTTGGAGTCCCTTGTGATGTTTAGAAAAAGTAAAAGCAGTGTTTTTTTGTGGGACACTTCAGTGGAAACATTTGTTCCAGTTCTTAAGAGAAGGGACAATAACCATCCCTACCATTTACTGCCATACAATACAATCTAAAGTTATCCACAAATATGACAAACTTGGATTATTTTCGAAGTCACAATGCTTTTTGCCTATACTGCTGGTACTTTTCAGATCCACTGGAGTATATTTATTTATACTAAACTTCTCATGGTTTATATTAAAATATCGTCATCTTGACTGTGGCGACTGTCAATGGAAAATTGGAAATTATAAAAAATGAGTTTCTTAACATATTAAAAGATTTTCTTTGCTCAGTGTAAATATAAAATAAGGTGAGTAAATCTATAACTAAAAACATTCTTTTTGCTAGAAAGTAAACAGCACAATATTTTTTTTATAGAAAAATTTCTAACCACATACCGGCCTGAACAAACAAGGAAGTGCTATAGGTGTTTCTTGTGAAAAGTTCACATTCTGATGTAGGTTATTTCTGACAATTTTTTTCAATTACCAACCTACTTAAGAAAAAATGTTATACTTTCAAATAGCATGACAGCATATAATATTGACATTTTTGTAAAACTAATCTATATATATATTTGGTATTATGTTATCCTCTCTAACCCTATATTTCATAAACAATAAATGAGATCAATACAGAATCAACCAGCCTAATAACATGTTTTTTGCAATATGTACCTGGGAATTAGACTCAATACTATTATTACTAACAAATTGTTTCTGCTATACAACAGAAAAGCTACTAACTATAACATTAGGTGATTCCATGTCTATTGATCTTGAAACTAATTTCGTATCTTAGAAACCACCAGGTTTTCTATTAGAAAATTGTACCAACTCATAAATATAAAAGAAAGTTGCCTTTCAAAAATAAAGTATATTATTGTTAATGGAAGACATTTCACAAATGTACACATTTTTTCAGTTATGTCTTATTCAAAATGTTTTAAAAAATGTATCTTATCTTGAAAGCTATTTGGCCAATTTTTATCCAAATTTATTAATAACTAGCATCTCCTGAGGGAGTCAATTTGAATGAATAATGAAGCTAAATGATATTACCTCCATCAAAATAGGTAACTAGTCAGACATATCCAATAAGTAGTAGTAATAAAATTATGAATAGGCATAGACTAATAAACAACCCATCAGACCATTTTATTTTCCACAAATTACCAACTACCTGATAATAGCAGGCATTAAAATAAAATGCATTTTTTGCCAACTCTTCACCATGAAATTATTTAGGATACTGCTGGAAACAGGAAGTTGAAAAGAAATCTAAAAAAACGGATGTGCTGATGTACTTATTACTTATGCAGATATTAGCCAATGTAACATGCTTGTTTCATGAAGTGATTTCTTAATAATACATTGAACTTTTGTCAGTAATGTGGTAATATATTTACGCGGAAATTCGGAAACTATAGGAATGGTAGAAAATGGTTTGACCTCCTGAGCATGTCCCAGTGGCAAAATGTGGTTTGGTTGAGATTGTGGATATACAAAAACTTTCCAAGATTTTCTTTAATAGCATGTCTTTAAATTTGTAGCTGTCAAATGCAAACTCAAAGAAGTAGTGTAATTTGGGACATTCATTTTGAATGTGACCATTAAAAAATGCTAAAGAGGCTTAAAGACCCATTTACATTATAAAAATGAGGCACATAGCAAAGAATCGATCAGATTCGTGATGTTGACAGGCAATACGTTTTCATCCGAATCGCAATTCCTAAAACAAGCATATCTGCTTTGGAGGCCCAATGCATTTTTGACTTTTCAACGTGATCCCTTTATCCCTAGTTCCATAATGCAAAAGCAACTTATTCGCAGCGCGTCATCTCGCTCCGGTTCATCGTCTTCCCTCTCGTCTTCGTCTGAGCCTTTGCTCCTGGGCAAAGTCTCCCCCACGTACAAACCATCAAATTTGCGTCGATGGCGACCCGCGCCCCCTGTTCTGCCGGTACCCGGCCGCCCAGGCGAAAGGGGCCGCCCTGTAAAGCTGCCGCCCAGCAAAGAAGCGCAGGCCAAGGAGAAATTCAAGCTGAACCAATTCAACGTCATGGCCAGCGATTCCATATCGCTGAATAGGTCGCTGCAGGATGTTAGGCTGGAAGGGTAAGTGCTTCTATATTAATGTTTGTTACATTTTTAAAAATTCTCAGATTGTACAACTGTTTTTCGGCGTCGGCTTTTCCAAAACCTATTATTGATAATTTGAAATTCTCTCAAATAAGCATGAACAACCGCAGTCTTTTATGACATTGGAAAATTGTTTATTTTAGATATAACATTGTAATGCTGTAAACAGAAGCATTATAGAGATATTAGTATTATCATTGATTGAGGAAATTAAATCCTTAAATGCGTTTTATTTGATCAGCCTGGAAATTTAAAAAAAATCCACCTATAGCTTTAGGAATACATTATTACACTAGATGGAAGCGGAATGTTTAATATTCCAATTAATTTTCTTTGTGCGATTTCGTGGCGGGTGCCTCTTGAACGATCCCAATTCTCAAGCTGGTGGTGTCGAATAACAAGGAAACCGTCTCGGGTTTCTCAGTTTCATGTTTTTTTAAGAGAATTAAGTTTTATTTCAATTGCTTAGAAGTAACGATTTCATGGATTTCAAGTGAGAGAATCGATTAAACCATAATTTATATTGATTAGTACCGTACAACTTATGTTTCCAAGTAATACCAGTTATCCGTTTTGCGTTTTCACCAAGTGCCAAGTGCTTTTATGTGCCGTGTTTACGTCGTCATCCGTATTTCATAACGCCCGCATAGTGATAAAAAGTACAACTTGTATCACGTCAACGATGGTCGTAGTATGATCGTAAAAAACGGAGCACAGGTGAATTCGTGGAAACGTTATGCTTTTCATTTTCGATAATTAAACGATGCCGCCGTTGTTAATTGCTGAAACGACGAACGTTGACGATCACTTTCACCGTGTTTCTTTTTTTGCAAATCTGGTTTCTCTCAAACGTTTAATCATCGGTAATTGGGCGATGGATGAGGCTATGGTCTTCGAAACGCATAGAAAATCGGCGATTGCCGTTGGTAGATTTTCCCCGTAGCTAGTAAAAGTAGTATTCATACGTGTTTTCAGATGCAAGGACAAGAAATATCCGCCATTACTGCCGACTACCTCGATAGTGATCGTGTTCCACAACGAGGCTTGGTCGACGTTGTTGCGCACAGTGTGGAGTGCGATCAACCGGTCGCCGAGACCTTTGCTGAAAGAGATCATTCTCGTCGATGATGCTAGCGAAAGAGGTAACGCTCACTTTCCATCTTGTCACAATTTTCGTTTCATAATGCTAACTAAAAAATTATAGGTTCACGAGTTATCAAATTATTATTTCTGTCTAACGTGCCACCATTCACCAGTTGTTAATTACGAATCGCCCTGTGTATTATATTTTAAGAAAATAATAAGGTTCTAACGTTCACGTTCACATTAGCAAAACAATATTATTGCAATTCATTTCAAGGCCAAACTTTGTTGCATTTCGTCTGCAATTAACCAACTAATCACTTTCTTTGTTTTGTAATTTACATTTGACTTACAAAACGTATTAAAATAATGGCTAGGACCAAAGACGGTATTGTTCATTGATTAACAACTCGACTACGGTATAATATTTATTCGGACTCTAATTATGACATTTGTCTTTTGTAATAATTTGCGATTTATCTTTCTTTCGTTTTCATTATGCTTTGCTTTCAGCAGAGTGTCTGTGTCGATGCACTTGGCATTGAACTTGTCCGAGTACAAGTGTAAAATATGTGAAATTTCAAACACGCGACGAACTTTTTAAAAATAGCGTGTCTATTTCTAGACCAACCATTCCTGTTTTGACGTAATAATTTCATTGCACTACAGCGGATTCGCGTATGATTACATTTAATTCGAGGCAAAAAAATTGTATTAATCATCACCATAATCAGAATAAATTGAGAAATTGAATTGATTAATCTCATTATGTTTTATAGCATCCCAAATGAACATACAAAATCAAACTTTCTACTAATAAAAACTGCATTTCATTTGTGGAAATAATTTTCTTTCCGTAGCTCTTCAAGGTTTGGATGAATATTATTTAAAATCCTTCTACTTTTGCTGAAGATTAATTTAGTGTTAATACCACAATGTCAATTTTTGTATGTGTTCTTTTACACATTTTTTTGTATACTTGTCTTTTAAAGTTACATCGCTATGCATTTTGCGTATTCACAAAGTGATTTTTTAAAACGTTAGTTTAAAATCGTTTGATTTATTAATTAAAAATCTCGCGTTGGACTAGCGACTTTGTCTTCTGTGTTACGCTCGCTCACGTTTTGATCGTTTTCTACTTATGATAACGTTCTGAGAATCTAGTGTGCACCGGTAATATGTTTTTTGCAGATTACCTTGGTAAACAACTGGAAGAATACGTGTCGAAGTTGCCAGTGCCGACGTACGTGTATCGCACCGAAAAAAGGTCCGGTCTTATTAGAGCGAGATTGTTGGGTAAGAATGTCATTTCCATCTATGTCTTCTATACGATTTATTTACCATTAATGCTACAGTATCTATAATATCATATATCACAAAATATATTATATCTTCAAGACTACATATTTTCATACAAAATTGCACTACTATGAATTCTGGTTTACCATGAGATATTTTTTCAATTTCCCTTTGAACATTTTCAAACTGACACACATCTTGATATAGTAGCATAACTTGATTTATTAAATTCGTTCAATACAATAAAATTGTCTAAGTGATTTGGTAGAAGAGGATTTTTCAACTTGAATACCAAAATAAAAACCAAGTAGGCTATGAAATTTTTTGTATCTAACCATTGTAGTTCTTTCAGCATAACATTTATTCTAGTATATTTATTTTTATTTAATACGATTCTCATAGCTTTATTTTTTAATATTTGTAATTTTGAAAATACAGTTGCACTTGCAGTGAACAAAATCTGTATTATTCTTACAATTTATAAATGTTACTTGTGCAAGCATAAATACGACGTTATGACCATACAATTGATGGATTATTTGCAATTCATTTATCGTTTTTAAGATGAATTGAACTATTGGACCGTTGATGTTTCAAATATCACAAACTGTATGAGTACGACTTCGCGAGGTATTTTAATTCGTATGGTTTTTCGGACGACTTGTGCGGAATTAGTTGAGCACCGAAGCGACTGGATTTCGTTGTTGCAGGTGCGAAACACGTAACAGGTCAGGTGATCACTTTCCTGGACGCGCATTGCGAATGCACCGAAGGATGGTTGGAACCGCTTTTGGCGAGGATCGCCGAGGATCGCGGCACCGTCGTCTGCCCGATCATCGACGTCATTTCCGATGACACGTTCGAGTACATCACCGCATCGGACATGACGTGGGGAGGATTCAACTGGAAACTTAACTTCAGATGGTCAGTTCGTATTCGTTTTTCTATCGAAACGTACGAGTGGATGATTGCGACTATTTGGCCTAATTTTGCAAGATGGGCCCCTAATTAACATATCAAATGGGGGTCAAAGTTTTGGGCCTTATGAAACGGATGCATTTACACATTTCAACATTTCTAGTTATTCTTCGTACGTATTCCTCTCTGAATTCTAACGTGCTGTAGTATTTGTTTATAGCAAATGTTCGCGAGTTTTGGAAAGTATGAAAATCGTTTCGTCCGTATTTTAGGTATCGTGTGCCGCAGCGCGAGATGGACCGTCGGAAAAGCGACCGAACGGCCCCCTTGAGGACCCCGACGATGGCCGGCGGTCTCTTCTCGATAGACAAAGAATTTTTCTACGAAATCGGTTCGTACGACGAAGGCATGGACATCTGGGGAGGGGAGAATCTAGAAATGAGCTTCAGGGTGAGTCACATCTCGTCATTTTAATCCTTTGTCTTCTTTTAGAACCACTTGTACAGTCGGCGAAAATAAAAATTTCGACGATTTTGGTATCAAAAACGTTGGAATTGCTTCAAAGTAAACTAATCTGAATATTCTCTTTCAGTTAGATTACTTGACGATTTCAAAAATGATAGTTTTTAACCGAGTTTTTAAGCATTGAATGCACCAGCGCAGTCACTCAGATCAAAGCAGTTCAAACATTTTTTTTTTTAATAAATATTTCATCTTGAAAGAAATACAGCCCAATGATGCCGTTAAAGGATATGGCGCACCAAACAGTCACCTTTGAACTATGTAAATGTTGTTGATGTTTCTCTTTTGGGTTCGTTGGTGCCCGATATCTGCGATTTTGCTTGTTCACATAACCGTTTAAGTGAAAATTAACATCGTCGCCGAAAACAACGTTCATGAGTCTGCGCCTTAGGAAAAGATTCAACATCCGTTCAGCGCGGAATCACTTTCCTTTAAAGCATGGACTGAACGCCGAGGATTTGCAATGATCGAATCACTATTTTGATGTTATCTTAGTTTAAAACGAATTTTAACCTTGTTTTTCGCAGACTGTACAATTTTCAGTTACGTCTCGTCCAACAGTGTCGCATATGGCAGTTAATTGCTGGTTAGGTATAAGGGGCCGTTCAAGTATTACGTGAACACTATGGGGCGGCGGGGGTTCTTTGCTTATTTTGGATGACACTGGGGGGTAGGGGAGTCTAGATGATGATTACGTCATCGGTAGTTATTTACTTTTTTACACGAATGGCATCCCTCACATTGTCTTTGCTTGAAAATGAAACGCATTTTCGGGGATTCCCGCAAATAATGCATACGTTTAGCGAACAGCGCGCGGTAATTCCCCTACGCGCGGTGTTCACTTGTCTAAATTTCCTCTATCAGTGTATTGTTTCGTTTGAATACTAAAGCGAGTAGACGTATTGTAAGCATATTAAAGCAAGTTAACATTTGTGTTACCATTGATTCCATTAGCCAAAGTTTAATGTTTAAATAAGATGTCGTTTCGCATAGACAAATCCAAGTTATACCAAAAATTGTTTGAAAGTTTTAAAAAATCTCATACAAGTACGAAAGAACAAAATGTACAAAAGTTAGTTAACGAAGTGTGGCGAAATTACAAATTACAAGCAAAATCCGACAAGGAACTAGATATTATTGTATCTAAGAGAATCGAAGAAGAATTGCAAGCGACGACTAAGAATAAATCCAATCTACTAATTTTTTTTCTAAATCTGCTTACGTAATACTTGAACGGCCCCTAACTAAGCATTGTGAAAGCGACGATAAGGGATATAGAACTTTAAAACAAATACATAAATAATATATTCTTTTAGAGATTATACCGACATTATTCATCTGAATGGGTTTATTTGTTCTTATGACATTGTTATTATGTTTGTACGTATGTATGTAGATTTGGCAGTGCGGTGGCAAGTTGGAGATAATCCCGTGTTCTCACGTGGGCCACGTGTTCAGGGATAAATCTCCGTATACTTTTCCCGGAGGGGTTTCGAAGATAGTGTTGCACAATGCGCAGAGGGTCGCCGACGTTTGGATGGACGAATGGAAGGATTTCTACTACGCCATCAATCCAGGTGCTGATGATTCGGTCGAACGCGTCGATCGCTCATATTAACTAACTAAATATTCACGGGAGCAAATACAATTTTAGAAAACACGTTTAACGAATTCATTCAGCCAATGATCTACCTTATATTTAGGAAGGTGGAAAAAGAAAAACTAATGTAACATCTATGTTTTGCTGGCGGCCAAATGTAACCTCGGATGATGGATTAACAGTTTATTAAATTTTTGATGTGCTTTGCAAAGGCTGCCAAGGCGGTCTAAACTTTAGTAAACTTGGGCGGCAAGCAAAACGTGGATATTTTCACCACATCGTGTTGGTTTTGTCCCTGCATGTTTAGTTGTTACTCTGAGGCGGAACCAAACACGGATCAGATGCTGGACCGTTGGCTGTATCAGGAGAAGGCTAGGGCAGTGCGCATTCGATAACAATTTATTTTGGGATGGATTTGGTGGGCTGCTGCTGCTGCTGCTGCTGCGAGGAATAAAGAGAATCTGCGACAGATATGCATTTTTGTAATACTGCAAAAAACTTACTTTATTTACTCTCCAAACTTCAGTGAATTACACCAATTAATCACTTCTTTGTGAAAAGTGCATCTCTGTAGCGCATTCTTCTCGCTAGGTGTTGCTGCAGGTTGCAGGTTATTCGATGTTACATCTTGTCTTTTATAACTTACAACCATAATAATTCGAAACAGCTAGCAAAATTCTTCGATTTCGTTCGCAGTAATGTTTTTTTCACGTTTTATTAACATTTTTCTTACAACCTGGATGATTAATTATTTAAAGATCTTACTAATTTTTACTGTTTTTATGAACTGATTGAGTGTTTATCTAGGCATGAAAATTGTTGGACATCTACCATTATCGTATAACAATTAATCCTTCTATCTACAGCTTAATCGCATTATAGTACAATAACAATTACTAACCGTATGATATTCAACTCATTTGAATTGAATAAAGGAACTTATCACAATAGTTTTTTTTGTAAACATTAGTCAATTAATTGAGATATATTGATTGATATTTAGTTGATCATTGATTGATCCAAATGAGTCATTTGCAGGAATGATACAGTTGGCAGAATGAATATGCAAATACAACAACAACGAAAATACAGATACAAAATTGAAATACATATTCCTTCTTCTTGGACTAGATGTGAAATCATTTGTTGAACCATGTGTTCAACGTTTTAGATCCCATGTACGGAACAGATCCTTAAAACCAACCTATTCTAGCAACTTAGTAGGTATTGTTTAACGTCGCATGTACCTTTTTCCAACAGCCTGGAATATTATTTTTTTCGTCTGGTTGCTTCGTGATGTGTATAGAGATGACTAAAATCAATATTATCAATTTTATGTCATTCGTTGTGCATGTCATTGTGCATTGTTTCTTTTATCTTAACTTGTTACCAAACAGTACAGCTTTGAAATCGTATGTGAATATTCCACTTTTATGCAAGAATGAAGTCGGTGAAAAAGTTTTATACGATATTTGATATTGCATTTTATGACAAAAAATGTATAACCTTGCTTTATACTCACCATGAAATAATTAGATGAAAAGGATACCGCTCCAAACAAAAAAGGGGTACATGCGACCTAGGTGGCAATTTGACAGTGACAGACATATGCATCATCTAACTGCGATCTAAACTAACGTTTAACAAATGCTATTTAATTTTTATATAAAAGTTGTACGATTCCTATATTCGTGTTATCTGAAACATCGCGCCTCAAACCGAAGAATCGTCTTTTTATTGCTCCTCCTCGATTAAACATTCAATCATAGAGACTGACCGGTTTGTGGTTGGTTTGTAAGGTATGGATGTGCGGTGGTCGTTTGGAGATCGCCACCTGCAGTCGCGTCGGGCACGTCTTCAGAAAGTCGACGCCTTACTCGTTCCCCGGCGGCACTTCACGCATCGTCAACAAGAACAACGCTCGCCTCGCTGAAGTGTGGCTCGACCAATGGAAGGAGTTTTACTATAACATCAATCCAGGTGCCTGACTGTTTGTCTGTCTGTCCCTCCGTCTGTCAGCACCGCCATCAACTATTATGTATCTTGTATCTTTGAAGAGCACATCGGCGATTCAATATTGCAAATTGGGATAAAAACTTTGCCCTTCTCTGATTACGGAACTTTGAAGCTGTCAAGGTCATCATCAATACAAAACATTCGATTTAATTCCGCTTTGTTGCGTATCTAGACTATTTAACAAGAAAAATTCTTCAAAGATACCACACAGAGTTCCTCATTGTATTTGGACTTTTGCATGTTGTACCGTTAGATTTTTGCTTAACGCATCCGCACAGATTTTGCATGTCGCACGGCACCTCTTTTTATGCAAATGTAGCACCTGAAACTTTATCATGTGGTTGTTTCGCTCGCCGTCAAATAAAACGGCTAGAGCAAAATTAAAATCACTAATGGCAGTAACGCTTCCACCAGTTCGGTGACCATTTTCAAAGTACAATGACGATATATTTACATGTTGACAGTTGACTTGTTTTTGCCGCTACTATAATGTGTGTTTCGATAACAGACTGAGCAGCCTCGAGTCTGGCCGAGATGACGCGCGAAAAACCTACATAATCGAATACTGTTTCTAAAAAGACGCCAAGTTTCTCCTAAGCGACAAGCGAGTTCAAGGTTATCTGTTGTTTTAGATTCGCCAGACACATTGTACACTGTACAGTAGCAACCAAAACAAGTCAACTGTCATCTGGAAGATATAAATAAATATATGTTGTCATTGCACTTTGAAAAAGGCCACAGAGGTAGCAAAAGTAGTATTGTTGGTAATTTTAATCCTGCATCTATGGTTTTGTTTGGCGACCTATTTTATGTGCTTTATTATTGAATCAGTTGGTAGCTTGTTTTAAATGTATACAAATCTTGCGAATATATTTAGTCACCGTTTTCGTTTTGTAGCTTAGCGTCTTTTTCCTGTTTGGTTCTGAACGCCTTTATTTATTATTTGTTTGGTCGTTTAGCTTTCATCTGTTTGTCTGATACAAAGAATGAAATTTTTCACTTCGTTCTTTCTCACTTGTTATGTAGTCTATGTGTGTCTTTGTTCTTCAGCTACATGATGTAAACACTTCACTTTTTTTCGTATACACAACAACGACACATCGACTATTCTCTTTTTTGCACTAGCACTATTGTTTAGTGTACATACAGAAACTTTGATAAAACCATCAACCTTTTCCAACCGAAAATTGCAAATTATCGATGTGTTATACAAGGTTGTTATAGTCAAATACCAGAATTGATGATAGTAGTCATCGTGCGCCACTGCTTTGACGCTGTACGTTTTGATTACAGCGATGTTTACCAACATTTCACAAAAAAGCGCCGCATTTTCGAAGGCCTCCGCGTAATAGCAGTGGCGTACGATGAGTTTCGCTACTGTCATCAATGTTGGTATTTTACTATAGATTATGATTATGACACGAATTCGATTTTTCTATTCCTATGAGTCAAATCGACACTCAAGTCTTAAAAATCGATATTCTGATTGCGCTCATGATAAAATTTCGATTTGTTTTCCTTTCAAAAGATGTATGGCTTGGAAAGGTTGATTTGGGGGTAAAGTATCTCATTTTGTATAATGTTATTTAGGAGCAAGGAGCGTTGCAGTAGGCGATATTTCTTCAAGATTGGCATTAAGAGACAGGCTGCAATGCAAATCTTTCAGGTGGTATCTGGAAAATATCTATCCTGAATCTCAAATGCCGCTAGATTACTACTATCTAGGAGATGTGAGTATATATCCGCGTTTTGCACCTAGCAAACAGTAATCGTCAATGTTACCAGTAAAATTTTCACGAAATTTCACTCGCATTCCATCTAAAATTAAGGCTTACTTAAACATTATCGATGACTAATATATCGAATAACATTTCTGTTTCGTTATATAGATCCGAAACGTGGAGACGCGCAATTGTCTGGACACGATGGGCAGGAAAAGTGGCGAACGTTTGGGCATGACGTATTGTCACAAGTTGGGCGGCAATCAAGTGTTCGCGTACACGAAACGACAGCAGATCATGTCGGACGACAACTGCCTTGACGCGACTAGTCCAAACGGGCCTGTCAACCTGGTCAGGTGTCACGGAATGGGGGGCAACCAGGCGTGGACGTACGACGCTGCCGTAAGTGCATTTCAACTTTCAAACGAATTTTGTATTTGAAGAAGCTGTTCAGAATGTCGTCCTCCACTTTCCACAAAAACTAAACACTGTTACCGTTTGCGATCGATTGCCGGTTCGATAAGAGTGATGACGACGCGCTGTTGTCGTGCGTGTTTTAAATATTTAATTTAATGAAATTTACTTACTTACCGACTACAAATTTTGGCTTAACTGAGAAAAACTTGAAGCCATTTATTTGTTAATTACCCAATTTTTAAAGACGTTTTAGATTTATCTTGCCCTGGAACAACTGTAGTTTTTGTGGGTGCGTGTATCGTTTGGCGATAAAGAAGCGTTCACTTGTTTAGCTTTTCACCATATTTGTCCGGTTTTCTGCTCGCTTAGTGTTCATTTTGAGATGTTAGTTTCTCCAAAGTATTCACCACAGCTATACAAAGGCCGATTATGTTTTTTTCTTGTTTTTAGTTTAAAACGATAAAGCACGTGAACACCGGCAGCTGCCTGACGCGTCCTGATTCGAGCGACACGAATCTGCCGCTGCTGAGGCCGTGCGATTATAGCGAAGGCCAACAATGGATCATGGACAGCGACTTCAAATGGCAGGCGAAAGGACACGAGAACGATCTGCAGGTCAGCTAGAAGGTCAACGTTACGCGAGGTCTATGAACGAGTATACGTTTCATCGCTGATGTTGCTGGCTGGGAAACAATTGTCGACTGATGCACACACGATTCGAGCTCTTATTATTGCAATAATCTTATCTAGGTTAATTTCGACGTTGTGTCTCGACCCAAAATTGGAACTGATGATAATGATTTTGGATTGCACGATTCATCAGTGACAATGTTTCCCGTTTCGCATATTTTCTATTGGTGCAATTTCGTGATATTTCTGTGTCGTACGACATAATAGTTTTCATTAGTAACTGCGCGACAACGAGTAAAATACTTGGAATTGAGGTGTGAAATGTGGAACACGAACGCGGTACAAATGAGGGCTGTTCGTCTGTAAGGCGCATCGATAATCGCAAAAACGTTGTTATTTATTTGTATGTGTGTGCGGTGTAGGTTTACTTTTATGGACAGGAAGAAAAGACGGATCGGGATATTTCAATTCAAATGATGAAAATGCAATATTTTTTCTTGTTTAACTCGAAAACGAAGTGAGCTATGAAAAAAAATTCAAGAAGCAAAGAAGTTGTATTTTTAGATGCGTAATCGAACAAAAAATATTAAAGTTGCAGTGGCTTACATTTTTTTGCGAATAATATTCGCTAAGGTGAAAACCGAGTAAATATTTTTTAAGATATTATAAAAAAATGAAAATCACCATGTATCTTCTAAATTCTGCATTCCCGGACCCATGTTTAATAGAAGGTTTTTTTTAAATTCTTTTAAATAAGGAATCATCCCAAAATATCTCCATCTATTTTTCGAACACGCTGTATAAATATGTTACAGTTATTTTTGTACACACTTGTGTACGGTATATTTAATTTGTAATTTTCGTTAAAATCGTCTTTAATATCCTAGTGCTAGTTTTTCAAGGATTGAGTGGTGGAATAGCTCGTAGCTAAACTTCGCCCTAAATAAAAGTCGTTTATTATTATACAGGGTGAGTTCGAAGTCGAGTCATTTATTTTAACAGTGAGTAGATCTGATCAAAAGAAATGTTTTTTTCCTTTACCATTTTTCTGGTAAAATTAAAGTAACAACGTTATAGCCCTTTGGAAGTTTGAGTACCGCCCTGTCTCAATAATAATATTATGTGCTCGTGTCTGGCAACAACGGATATAATCCGCCTTATCGGTTCATCGCATCGGAAACAAAAAAGCGAAAGAATTTGGAACGATGTTTTTACAATTATTTTATTCAGTTGTATACAGTCAGTGTCAGTCGGTAACGCGTGAGTGAATAGTGGTGTCTGTTGCGTGGCTCAAACGAAATAAAAAATGGCACATGTTTATGCGGATCGGTTTCCCAATCGAGTGCAACCAACCCCTCGTGCCTTTGTTAATGTAGTACAACGGGCTCGTGAATCAGGTGACTTAAGACCTCACAGGAGAGGGCATGCCGGTGCTCCAAGACCTCACGATCAAATACAGGTCCGCACTGAAATACTTGTCGGGAGGATACTTTATAAAACAAGGTAACATTTTTATTTTATTTTTTTATTTTTACACACATTTTGGTTTATCTTCCTTCTACAATCATTATCTGAAAATTAATGACTCAACTTCAAAGTCACCCTGTATGTAATCGAACGAAAAGGATATAGAATGCTGCTCCAAAGAGGCAGGTGAAAAAAAGAGGAGTGCATGCGACCGTAAACGAATGCGTTTCTTCATTAGTGCTGATCCGTTTTTCCTTTCTGCCAGAATCCACAGAATGCTGACGGATTTAAATTTAACAATAGTAATTTCGACTAATAATGGATCGTTTGCAGATATATAGCATTTATATTTTTGTATCTATGTACTATTTATTTGAACGAATTTATCACCTTGCGAGCATTCCAATTTAAGTGTATTCTTTTTTATGATTAACGGTGTTTTAAGGAGACTAAACTAAATGTTCTTCCTAAGACTCACGGGAGGCGTGCCGTACGTTTCGGACTTTTGCTTACTCGTTTGGAAAATTGGAGACAATCGGCGCACGCTTTTTTAGGTGTAAATGGTTATAAATTGAAAAATTGATTTTTGAAATTACGAATGTCATTTATGCGGTATGTGAACCCGTGAGCGCGATCTGCAAAGAATAAACTGACTGCCATTTGTAAATATAGGCTAAAAAATGGAGACCAATATGGCGATTTCAATATTGATAAAGATAGTTACTTATATCGTTATTTTATATCATTGAATCGAAGTAGATAGTTAGCATAAAATGGCCTTTCAGCCCTTTTTGTTTCCTCGTACCTTAAGATGGATGAGGTGGTACGATAATTGAATATTTCATGCTGGTTTTTCACGTCGTTTCAAAAACGCTGCAGTGTCTTCCATCTTGCTACAAAAAAGGTCATTTGCCAAAACGTGCGATTAGATTTTTTCGCAAATTTTAATTCATATTTTGTTTTTTTATTCTGCAGCTAAGTCCTCTGCAATACACTAATGGAAAAAAATGCGATTTTTTGAATTTCCTTATTTCAGTAAAAAATTGTCTTGTTGAGAATAACGTTTTAAAGCTTCAGATGTCCTGTTTTTGGATCTTGAAGTCAAAATATTTTTGAAGTTCAACGTTCCACGCAATACCAGAAAATACTGTAAAGAATTTTTTTTTATAATTGACATCTTAAGAACCCAAGACCTTCGAGAAAATCTAAGCGTGGTTTTAGACGCTGGAATGGATTCTTTAATTCAATGATTATTTACAACACACAATTTTTCTTCAGCCTTCATATAGGCTGGAACAAATCAGAAAAAATGAGTCATTTATGGTCTTTTTAGAAAACCAACCCTGTAAAATTTCACATTTATCTGCTAGATGTTTTTCTATCGTAAACAAGTCTCGTAAAAATAAAAGATCAGCAACAAAGTGCTAATAAAAACTGTAAAATGAAAAACGATCTTTGTGAGTTTTTTATAAAGCGCTCAAATTTATGGAAAAAATCTTTTTAAAAAATTTCAACACTTTGTGACCAAAATATGCGAAAGTCTCAATAACTTTTTTTTCGGGTCCATGAACTTAAATAAAAAATAAAGAATATTGCAATTTTTTTCTTCACACAATTTCTTAGGCTTCCAGGGAACTTACACCTCCAAAAATTGTTTAACTACAACTGTACATTCGGAGCTTAAAAATATTTTTTTACAATCTCAATACGACAATTTCTTACTGAAATAAAAGAATCGGTAAAAATTTACAACTTTTCTTTGATTCTTAAATTTTTTCCATCAGTGTAGGTAGTATTAGATTGTTCGGAAACATCTTCTATCTCAGCTTTAACAAAAGTTTATTAATCAAAATAAAAACCATTAGAATCAGTGCACTTTTGCCAACGAGGCTTTTACAGGGTCTGTTGGGCGTTGTCGTGGAGGGGAATTTTGGCCTCTTCATATTGGGCACATAATCGGAGCTTCTGATGCATTTCGTCGATTTGCTGGCAGTACTTCTAAGCCATAATCGTTTCGCCCGGATTTAGAAAGCTGTTGTGGATGAGACCGGCTGCAGACCACCCCAAACAGTCACCATAACCTTCTTCGGATGGAGTTTCGGCTTCGGGAAGTGTTGTGAAGCCTATTGTAGAGAATCCACTTTTCATCACATGTCACATTCTGTTCGTAGAACAAGGGCAGACGCCACCTCAAAACGACGATTTTTCTGATTCGTGCGGTGTCCATTTATCGAGCTTTTTTCATTTTCCGTTTCAAGTGGTCGGAAACGGTCTTGATACCGACACCAAGCTCGTCATTTAAAATACGAATAACAAACACCGCAAGAAGTTTCCGAACAACCTGATACAAATCCACGTTCTTTTACGAATTCTGAAAACAAGAATCGTGACCTAATTTTGAAGAACATTGTATTTTGCTTAACGTTGACATTAGTATCGTCGGAAAATAGATTGCTTTTATTGAGAAACCAGATGAATGTGTGATTGTGTGGCATATGAAAATGACACAGCATTTATTAGTACTGTAGTACTGAAATCATATCATGAGATACATTCTTTGTATATTTAGCGATGATATTTGCCTTATTTTTTTTATTACGGTATATGTTTAACAAGTTACATGATATAGACAATCCCTATACGGAAAATTCATTGATTTAGACATTCCAAAACGATACTGCGGAAACTCATGTGACTAACAAATAAAACGAAGGAATTGTTCGATTTTAGTAAAGAACTGGGTATTAGCGCTTAGGATATTTTAAAATTGAAGAAGGTAGCTTCTTTTTTTATACATATCGATGGCGCATTTTACTTAATCCTTCATAGAACACCAAACAAATATGCAGAAAATTTGACATTTAATACGATATTTTGAAACATATTCTAGTATATGCTCTGCTTCTATCAAAGTTTATAGTTACTCAAATATCACTTACTTGTTAGTTCTTCAATTTCTTCGGTGCTTATTGTTTTCCTATAAGCAACATAATTGTAATTGAATTTATTTGGTGTACTGTGAAACTATTTTCTAGCAACTTCAAACTAAAATATCGATCAATTTACATGTTAAATAGCAATTGTTAATTTTGCATGAAAAAACGTTCCTGAACTGTACCCCAAAGTAATAATTACACAGTCCAACAAAAATTTTACCCATAAAAATCTCAATTCGCTCTACTTTCCGAAATACCTTAACCTGAATAATTTCAATTCACTTTCCTTTTCAAATGCCATTTCCATATAAAAAAAAACTTTCTTCTGATAAATCTGAACATTAATCATATATAGCAGTGAAGTTCAGGAATTTGATAATGACAAAAGTCGAAGGCTTCTGAAAAAAGAATATACATAATCTGAAATATAGGCTAAAATCACTGTTTTTACTCATTCAGGTCAAGATATCTCGGAAATTAGAGCCAGTTAGCCAGTAAGAGTGAGACTTTGTCGGCCTGTGCTATCTATAAATAGCGATTGACCGATATTTTTTGTAGTATTTTTTACTTACAAATTTGTTCATAGGGCGGATATTTTTTTATAACGATCGGTAGAGGGCGTTTTAACACATTTTCGCAAATACGATTCTGATCCAATTGCCTAACATTTATCCATATATTTGCGTGAATAATTGCCTAGATACGCCCTGTACAATATTGTATATAGTTGTTCTAGCTAGCTAACGATGAAATACTTTGTGTATAGTTTTTTTAGAGAAAAAACATATCGTACAATCAGATACAATTTGTTCTAATGTTGTTAATTGCTTGTAGTTTTTTTTTGTATATAAAACGGTTGAAATGGTGCGCGGTGATTCATCGATGAGTTGTTAATAAAAATAATTCACTATTTGCAAAATAAGAAATCATAAAATTCTTTACAGGAATAGACAGCCAAATGTTTGAGCTTTTTGGATCCAAATCGTGTAAAATATGAATATGATTAACAACCTTTTGATGAATGGAAATGTTTGACCTTTTTTTCTTTGTTTTGATTTATATTACGAGGCTAGGTGGTGGGGTGCAATCTAGCTCTTTCTTTCATAAGGTGAGCAAAAAATATAAAAAATGCAGATGAGATTCTTTGTACTGGTTATCTATTTTGTCCGAGTTACAATTTGGAATAAATTCGATTTTATTTGCTATGTTTTTTAAATAAACGAATAACATTCTGACAATGTTGTTTTAATATTACCTGTATTATATGTAATGAAGCTTTATCTTCGATTTAGCAATTACTTTAAAAATACCACTATTTTTTTGATCGATTGGATATTGAACGTCGAGTTTAAACTTTTTTTAAAATTCCTATGTAGGTTCAACCTTTCTGAATACCACAGAAAAACATAGAATTTTTTTTGTCGCAAGAATCCTACTTATCAAAAATAACTAGTAAAAAACAAAATTGTTGCACGACTATCATTTCAATGGCGGCTCGTTTTCTACTTAAATCAGGTGCATAGATTCCAAATTCGATACCAAGTTAGTGCTAGGATTCACGGATGGGCCTCTGTGATCTATTTATCTTTTTGTTATACAGAGGGTACTATAAAAGTTTTACAATATCCCTTCATTGGCTCCGTTCACAGTAATTTCCACCACATTCAATCAGATTGGTTTTATTTGGCTTACATCAAATATTTAGCGTACAGGAATCTTTTCGAAAAATAGAGTAAGTTCATTTTCAACTCACTAGATGTCCATAAAATTTGTGACGGCGCAATCTACTGCCGATAGTTTTAACTTAAGCAATAATATTATAGGAATCTAGACAGTAGATAGTGTTAGTTTCATATTCTTTTACTAGATGTCGCTATTAGCAATGACGCGTGCCTGTCACATCTATTGACGTCTAGCCAAACTATTTGTTTAAACCGCTCCCACACGATATGGCGAATGCCTTACAACGTTGGACACATGGCCATTCGCCACATAATGTGCCTTTGCAAGGAGTTCTTAGGCATCATGTGCTGGGGGTTGAACGCACATTTTACTATTACCTGCGGTCTGACAAATAATGAATACATTAAGTATCTTTACGGAAATATCGCTTTTTGTAACTCACTCTTCCATTTTGATAACAAGTTATAAATTGAGGATTCTATAATCTGTGTAGCAGTTATTTTTGCTGATGATAGCAAACGCAGAAAAAAAGAATATAGCATGAACAAAACAATAGACAAATTTCAATTTCAATACAAAGTTTACTTGGCGGTAAGGAAAAATGGCAGGTTGACAGCGGTGACGTTGAAGAAAGACGTTATGAAAAGTCAAATGACACTATCAAGATTGACAGTGTTGCTCATGGGGAGTCAACTCATAACCGCTCCCACACGATGTGGCGAATGCCTTACAACGTTGGACAGATGGCTATTGGCCACATAGTGTGGGAGACCGCTGACGGATTGCATGTGACCAACGTTCGCCACATAACATGACACTTTCGGGCTCTTGTCGGTAAATTTGACCCGCGTCAAAGGACGTTACACACGACATGTCATGTGTTTGATGGTTTTAGGTTAGAACCAGTAGCGGTGACAAACATTATTTATTTGTTTGTTATGATTGTGGTGAAGTGTTGTTTTGATTTGAATACCTACCTATTAATAATAATGTATGTTCCGTAACTAACTTTTGAGGAAAATGGATTAAATTAGTATACATACAACGCATAGGCTGCCATGGCAATACTTTTTTCATAGTGCTAATATTTTGGACGTTTCGCTGGCCTAAGGATATGTATTTTAGTAAATTATCAAGTGCTTACCGTTGTTTCATTATACTGCCCTGTTGCAATGCAAGACTAGTTGAGAAATATATTCACTTCCATTTCATAACTAACGAAAAATATTAAATAAATGATAACTTTGAAAGTACTATCAGGATTTTGATGAACATTTGACCCTAGGTTACTACTATGAGAATGACGAAAAAGATCTGCTGTTTTTGAAAATCGGTACAGTGGCGTTGGAGCTATCGTCGAAAATAGACAAAAACGGTCAAACTTCGTTTCTCGACATTTTTGAGGCTTGTGACAGACTTAAATTTTGGTCGCTGAGGCTGAGGACAGAGCTGAAATTATTTTTTGGCGCTCGAAAAAATCGTGTCCTCGTTTATTTTGTATAATTTTTCCTTCAGTTGTAAACGTTCAAGCGCGGCACTGACACCGATAATAGACGTAGGCACCACCATGCGTCGAACGTCCGAGACTAAACAGTTCATCCCATCGTGTAGGAGACACACTTGCCAATTGTGGGGTGTCGAACGTTGTAAACAACGTTGGAAGCATCGTGTGGGACCCGCATTAGAGAAAAATGTAGACATTTTCAATACCGCATTCCGTATGTGTCAAGTATTATCTATTCCGTGCCCGATCTCAACATACCGTTACAGTATGGTGTATTTTTTAATTCACCGGTTGAGCAACCGGTGCCACCGGTGGACCAGAGATCTGTCCTTTCAATTCAACCGGTTGCTGCCATCACCATACAAAGCTGTCAACAGTGTCAACCATAAGCATCAGTGGTGGAATCAACCGGTGAATTAAAGAATATACCTGTATTAACATTAACAGTATAGTTGTTCTGTGCGTTAACAGGTTAACACAGTTGTTTTTCTTTTTGTTTTCTCTGTAAAAACAGAAAATAATGGAATCGGAAAATCACTTGGACGTTAAACAATTTGACGTCGCCCAAATAACCCATGAACTTGTTATTAAAAGTGAAAAGGACGAAGTCTTTGAGATACACAAAGAACTAGAGATAGAAAGTGATCTCAATAAAAACTCTGAAGCCACTCAAATAATCCATGGATCAAATGAGTAAGGTCGATGGATTGATTTAGATGCTATAGACAGTGCTTTCTTTCCATGATTCTTCAAAATCAGCTATTTGAAAAAAATGTTTTTGGCGGATTATTGACTGAGCCCACACTAAAAACTCATCCTGTAGGTATAAAAGGCTACAGTTTATATTATCCTGTTTTAGCAAAGCAAATGACTATAATTATTCCAAGCCTTGGATAAAATGTGAAGCTGTTGAAGAATTGAAGTTGGAAAACAGCTTGGACACCGACGGAATTACAGAAATTACTGAGGAATGCGTCATTAAAGATGAGAATGCTCATTTTGTGAAAGAAGGAGTAAGCCATAAGCTCCATACGTGTACTCACTGCAATGAGTCATTCAGAAAGAAGAGCAGTTTAGATGGTCATATATTTAAGAAACATCCAGAGTTTGAATCTAGCTTTAAATTTAACGTATGTTTTTGCTGCAACAGCGCATTCAAGACTAAGCAAGGTTTAGATGATCATATAATTAACAAGCATCCCGAGTATATTGCGTTCGTTTCAAGCGAAACATATGAATGTAGTCATTGTGTATTCAGAACTACCATAAAAAGGCATTTAACCAAACATATGAAGAAGCATCCGGGGAATGAAGGTGGCTGTGTACGAAAAACGTGTATTCACTGTAAAGCCACATTCAAAAATAAGAATACTTTAGATAATCATATAATTGGAAAACATCCCGAGGATATTGCATCAGTATCGAGTAAAATTCATAAATGCAAATTTTGTGCATTTAAAACCACCCGTACAGATCGTTTAGCAAAACATATCAAGAAACATCCTGAAGCGGAAGGTGATTGTAAACGAAACACGTGTCTTCACTGTAACTGTACATTCAAAAATCGGATAGGTTTATATGATCATATTATTGAGAAGCATCCCGAGTATAGCGCATCAGTTTCGAATAGAATACAAAAATGTAAACATTGCAGATACAAAACTGCCTCCAAAAAATATTTAGTTAGTCATATCGCAAAGAATCACGGCGCCAATGCTGGATGTCGGCTAAAAACCTGTATTCACTGCAGCTCTACATTCAAACATCAGATAAGCTTGGACGATCATATAGTCAAGAAGCATCCTGAGCATATTGCATCAGCCTCAAGCAAAATACACGAATGTAAACCTTGCACGTACAAAACTACGCTCAAGGGTCAGTTGACCACGCATATGCATAAACATATTGACGCAGAAAGGGGAGATAAACTCAGTATATTCAATGCAAGCAGGTGATTTTAGGTAAACAAATAATTAGAATAGTATTGTATCCAGGGTTATCCAAATTAAGTGTCCACCATTAGTAACTTTGTTATTAGTGAAAATACAAAGTTGTTTGAATTAGCAAACTAGTAGCATTTTTAACGCTGGTAAAAATGAGAAATAAAAAAAAACAATTGAGAGTCGTTATTTTGATTTATTTCAGTAAAATAACATTTTTTTAAATGGAAACCCCTGTATATTATATTTTTTTCTGTTAAAGCATCAAATTTTAAACAAAAAAGCTTACAATAACTTTTCTCCTAGGTTACAAATTGTTGAAGTTAGGGCCTCCAATCTGAAACAATTAAATTGTATCGACAAACTTTATTTTCAACATCAACTTATAATCTTACAAAATACAATAACAATTTTTTTTAAAGAAGATGCTCGAAAACACCACCTTGTTCTTCAATACATTTTTGGGCACGTTTTTCAACTGCTCGAACTGTCTTAAGTATGGTCCTACCATCTATCTGGGTTATCTTTTCCCTAACTGCAGTCTTTAACGCGTCAAGGTTATCGTACCTTCGCTTGTAAATTTGGTTCTTTAAGTAACCCCACAAGAAGTAATCAAGTGGGTTTAGATCTGGTGATCTGGGAGGCCACTGTATTGGGCCATTTGTTCCTATCCACTGATCATTAAAAGTAGTACTTAGAAAATGATAAGTACCTCTGGAGTTGTGGGCAGGTGCGCCATCTTGCTGAAAATGCAGATGATGTCTACTTATAAGATCCAATTCGTCTAAGAAATTAGTCAGAATTTCTGACATAAATTCCACATATCTTTCACCAGTTAAGGTTCCCTCATAAAAGAACGGGCCAACAATTTTGAACCAATTATACCGCACCAAACGTTGAAACTGAAACGGACTTGTGGGCCTCTTGGATGTACTAACAAAAGATTTTCTCTTGACCAATAATGGTGGTTTTTTCTATTAAACATTCCACAATTTGAAAAATTTGATTCATCTGTCCATAAAAGGTAACGAAAGTTATTTACATTTTGGCGACAGAAGCTAAGATACCAATGGCAAAAACAAGTCTTCTCTCTGGATCCCCTGCCAAAAGCGTTTGAACTGGTCGGTACTTATACGGAATAAATTTGTATTTTTTTAAAATCCTTTGAACAGTACCATAACTGAAATTAGAGTCCTTGAGAATATCTGCTATTGAATTCTCACGATAAGCTTCAAAATATCCAATAACTGCAATTTCCGTGGCCTCGCTTATTATGAATTCTTTTTTTGCCCTTGTTTTTGCAAAAACATTTTCGTTGCCCCTAAATTTTCGATAAAGTCTCAGAAAATATCGTTCATACGGTTGAATGCGAGCGGGATATAATTCACTGTAGTATTCTCTTGCTCTCAAGGAGGATTTTCTGCACACTAAATAGCATTCTAACATATCACACTTTTCTTCATGGGAGAACATTTTTCTTTAAATTAATGACACAATAAAGCTTATAAACAAGTATTTACACTAATGTTTGACATTATTTGATTTTATCATTGTTTTCCAAAGCCTTCTAGTTGCGAGTATGTCCAGTTTAACAATTTGTCGCTTATCTTAATGCTGTCAAATCGCGAACGCCATGTTGTTTTCATAGCCGTCTTAATATTATAATACTGCAAATAATTAAAAATATTTATCGTTATTTTGACTTTATTTTTGACTTTAGCGGAAAAGTCATTATGAACTTTTTTGTTTAAAATTTGATGCTTTAACAGAAAAAAATATAATATACAGGGGTTTCCATTTAAATAAATGTTATTTTACTGAAAAAAATCAAAATAACGACTTTCAATTGTTTTTTTTTATTTCTCATTTTTACCAGCGTTAAAAATGCTACTAGTTTGCTAATTCAAACAACTTTGTATTATCACTAATAACAAAGTTACTAATGGTGGACACTTAATTTGGATAACCCTGTATATCTATATTATAGATACTGGCATAATATGTCTTTTGGTAACATTTTTATAAAGCCGTTTAATAACGAAAATAAAACACTTTTTTGAAATACTTATGATTTTTTTGTCTCCCCACCTCTCTTATAGGTTTTTTGCAAATCCTAGAATATCCTCTTTGTGGCACTTGAAGCCAAAATGAAATTTTATTAACAAAACTGTATGATTTAACAGTTATTCATCTAACAAGCGCGGAAAGTGCTACTTTTTGGACGCTGTTAGGAAAAATATACAGGGTGATCGAAAAATATACACGGAGATTTTCGAGCGATTCCTTGTTAACAAATATAAAAGTTTCTATAAACGTGGTTCCGGAAATGCAGTTTTCAACATTCAACTTTTTAGAGAAATTTCGCAAATAAAATTTCGTTAATAATTCTTTTTCAGAAGAATTGACGTGCAAATGTCAAACGTATGCTTTTTGTGCAAAAGTTAATAACCACTCGGGTTAATATCCTTAATTTCTGCTCTTTTATTGTGGACATGCTCACAATTAATTGTCTTTCATCTGAGGTTCTGCAAAGCTTCTTGTCTTTGTATTGTAATGATGATGTGCTATTTGCTGAACCAACTATTCAAATCGACACACACTTAAAAAGAAACACAAACACCAGCATCTTGAAAATAAAGAAACTTATTGTAATCTCTCAGGCTTGGTAACCAAAACAGCATGGATAACTAGAACAAATAGATCAATTTCAACAAAAGCTTTACTAATTGGTGCATAAGCTTAAAGCAAAAGTAACAAAAGCTATAATAGTGTGAAGAATCAATAATTCATAACAATTTATTAGAAAATAATCCTTGCTAAGCTAAAAATAAAACACAAAAAGCAGCTTTTTAATTACTGCATTTTATACTTAAGGAGTGTAGTTAATACATTTCAATTGTCAACCTGAATGTTTAAAACATCACATACAAAATAAATGGCGCTACTAATTCGAGACATTACATTATATATATTAGAAAAATATTAATGATTCTTCAAGGAAAAATGAATTTTTTTTTTGATAACATGTTTTGTGCAGAATACACATCCATACGATTCTAATCATAAACATAATGGTTTAATGACCTCTTTTCTCAAAATTTCGAGTCTCTAATGCAGCAATCTCTATTTTCTTTAGAAAACCATTCATTAATCAATTAACAGGTCATATCTCATTTTAGGTACATGGGAATTTTACCTAGTCGATTCTTGAAAATGTATTCTGCACAAAAATAGCCTCAAACACCTAATTCCCTTAATTTCTGTATATGGAACAATGCCCTAACAACCAAGTTAGTTTTCATCTCAACGTTTTAGCTTTGAAACAGTTCCTACTCCTCCCAAAACTATCGATATATGGCATCCCAGTCCTCTCCGTCTGAACTGAATTTCTGGCGGTGTCGACGTGTATATCCGTAGACCCAAAGTTATGATTTCCTAAATCAATGTACAAGTCTTTGGAGTCGCACTGGAACATGTGTTCCGCGAGCAGTTCCTTGGTCCTGAATCTGTGCAAAGCGTTGTAAGGGCATGTTTTGTACTCTGGGTAGTTGACCATGCATCTGATAACGTGCCTTTGCAAGGAGTTCTTAGGCATTATGTGCTGGGGGTTGAACGGACATTTTACTATCACCTGCGGTCTGAGAAATAATGAATACATTAAGTATCTTAACGGAAATATCGCTGTTTGTAACTTACCCTTCCATTTTGATAACAAGTTATAAGTTGTGGATTCTATAATCTGTGTAGCACTTATTATTGATGATGATAGAACATGCAAAAAACAAACAGCAAAATAGACAAATTTCAAACTCAATACAAAAGTCAAATGACACTATCAAGATTGACAGTGTTGCCTATGGGAGTCAGCTACTGGTAGTGGCGCTATCTATTGCCGATCGTCTTACTTATGCAATAATATCATAGGACAGTAGATATTGTTAGTTATATAATCTTCTACTAGATGTCGCCATTGCGAATGACGCATGCTTGTGACATCTATTGACGCCTAGAGAAACTATTTGGTTAGAGAAAAATGTAGGTATTTTCGATATCGCATGCCGTGTATGCCCGATTTCAACTTACCGTTAAATCGCTCCCACACGATGCGGCGAATACCTTACAACGTTGGACACATGGCAATTAGCCACATCGTGTGGGAGAGCGCTGATGGAATGCATGTGTCCAACGTTCGCCACATGGCACGTTCGGGTAAATATAAGGACGTTACAACGTTGGAAGCATGGTTCGTTGCGCTCCCACACGAGAAGTCATGTGTTTGATGGTTTTAGGTCAAAACCAGTATGGCTAACCTAAGGATATGTATTTTAGTAAATTATAAATAATCAAGTCCTTACAGTTGTTTCGTTATAATGTTGCAATTCAAGACTAGTTGAGAAATATATTGACTTGCATTTCATAACTAACGAAAAAGATTAAAGAAATGATACCTCTGAAAGTGCTATCACGATTTTGATGAAATGTTGACCCTAGGTTACTACTATGAAAATGAAAAAGCTCTGCAGTTTTTGGAAATCGGCACAGTGGCGGCGGAGCTATCGTCGAAAAACAAACAAAAAACGGTCAAACTTCGTTTTTCGACATTTTTGAGGCTTCTGACAAACTTAGGTCTTGATCGCTGAGGACAAATCTGAAACTATCTTTCGGCGCTCGAAAAAATTGTTTCATCGTTTATTTTGTATAATTTTTCCTTCAGTTGTGAAGGTCAAGCGCGACAACGACACCGTTAATAGACGTCGGCACCACCATGCGTCGAACGTCCGAGACTAAAAAGTTCATCCCATCGTGTAGGAGACACATTTGACAATTGTGGGGTGTCGAACGTTGTAAACAACGTTGTATACAATGCTGGAAGCATCGTGTGGGACCCGCATTATCAACCTAACGTTTCTTCAAGTCTCACCCGCTAGATGGCGCCACAAGTTTTATTTCTAGATATCTGCGATGATAGATGGACGCGAGTCAGCTTATAGCTTTGCTCGCTAGATGTCGCGAGCGATACGCTTTTAATAATTTTGGGATTAGGAATGTTGGAAAGAAATTGAGTCATCTGGCTTTGGCTTGATGCTTTATAGCTTCAAGTCCAGCCTCTGAATCTCTGAATGCAGAGGAAAAGAAAACATTGCTTATTGGTCTGGATTGGAATTAGGAGGAATGAGGAATGTATCAGACACTCCAGAGATACTGCTTCCGATTTAGCTTGAACATACGTTTTCAAATATGGCCATCAAAAAATGTGTAGCGAATCGCTACCTGTATTTTTAGTAAGATATTAAGTCCTCTGCGATCGCAACTGAAAAATTGTCGTGATCTACGCATCCGAATTGGCTACAATGAAAAGATGATTATACAATTGTTTGTTCTGAGTTGCGGACATCCAAGATGCCCACAACTGGTAGGTATTCAGCATCGATGACAGTTCGTACCTCTCTCCGTTATCAATTCTGCAAATTACAAGGGTGGTATGGGGTCGTCTTCATCCGTGAACCTCCTTTGAGGAGGGCGATTTCCTTGGTGCGGCTCCAATTCGATTATCACCTTCGATCGTAATTAACAAGTTGCCGCACATCCAACGTGATCAAAGCGATCCAAAGCGCGAATTCCGAATTTCATTACGAAGGTAGGGCACGTCACGTTGCGGGCCGGATGTTTTTCAAAAAGTTTCCAAATTGTGAGTGAATTAGCGTCGATGATAGTTAGCGAGTTCTCCCTATAAAGGCCTCTAATAAAGTTCTTTGAATCGGACGGTCGTTTGCATTCTGTCTGGCAAAAGGATCTGCTCTCATTGTTTCCTCTCATAGCGATCGGCGCAAATGAATTTGTCGCGTATATACATTTTCAGACGTGTTAGATTTCAGATTTCACAAAGGTAGATAAAAAATAATGTTTGTCTATATGATATTGAAATAGAGTCGGGAAGATGCTAGAAAAGCTACTGTTTATAAAAGCATGCATAGCTAAACAATTCTTGAAGGTGCAACCAAATTATTGTAATTACAAATACATACGCCGCAAGGGTTGTGATGAAAAATAAACATTTAGTAATATACAGTAATTGAACAAAAAGATCCTAATAGGACTGAGATTCTGCGGTGATTTTGGCGAGCGCGGCCCTGCGTATGAGTAGCAGAGCAGTAAGGTTTCGCTTATGGAGCTTTAAAAGCTTTCGGCTCGTCCCGAGTCGTCCTCCTATTTGAATATTTTTAGAGGAGGACGGATGAGTGGGAGACGGGAGGGATACAGAGGAAGGGGGAGGGCTCTAATATGTTTACGTTCGGAGTTTCCACTTTTATGGAGGCGATTTGGGATATAGCCGCTACCCCGCTACGCTCAACTTTATTGGGTTTTGAATTCTGCGGCGGATCTCACAGTACAGAGACGAATCCACGATTTCAGCATGTCATGCGAATACGGTGGTGACCAACATATTTCTTTATAATAAAGTGAATTTGCTAGTCAGATCAACTGTTTGCACGCTAAAAGCTATCTAGTCTGCAAGATGACATTTGTACGTTTTTTCACGTTTTTCACATAATAACCTGCGGGCAATATCACGCATTGTACTTGGACGGTGGCGAGGCTGCAAGTAGTCGCCCTACTGCCCGGTAGATGGCGCTAGAGCTCGTCCCAGCTAACAGGACTGGCTTAAGGTACACGGTTTTTCGCACGGTAGCAAGTAATTTGAATAAGTACTCGACGTTTGTTAAAGAACATGCATTTTGCAATTTTATGTACGTCCGCAAAGAAATTATCAAGCACAATTTTGTCCAGCAATAGCGAGACACTGTTATTTTCAATAAAATGCTTATTTAATTGCTGTCATATCAATCTAGATATTGTGTCCATGACACAAATGAAAAACATAGGCTTTCGTAGATAAGCCAAGTGATTTATGACGCACGCTTGATTTAAAGGCTTATCTTACAGAAATTGCATAATTATTCTCTAGTTTGAGAGACATTTTACAAGAAATCAACCATGTTAATTAGATGCACTACTTGAAAGACGACTTCTTATTGGTTGACTTTCTAAAATCGGGCCTTAGTATAAACGACATATTCGATGACATCTGCACTTTAAAAGCGATTCCACTCGCTTCAGGGTTTCGTAATTTCTTTTTTATATCCATCCATACTGTTTTCCTAAATGCAGACCGGCAGTTCCCAAAGGAGCATCAATTTTGCCTTTTATAGAAGTAGACCGATTGGCCTCTTACCTCTTATTGGCCGAACAACCGATAGTAGAATTATTTATATCCCTTTGCAAGCTTAGCTCTACTATCCTCTCTCGCTGAGAGGTCATGTAGGTCAGTCGTTTTAGAATTAGGAGTCCAACCAACTAATTCGGACTAGATAGAAGGGCAAGTAAACGATTTATTCGTAACCAAATTCACGTAGTTAGTAATCAGTAATTGAAATACTTCTGTGAATTTTGAGATAGTGGTGAATGCTCAGTATAGGTGCTAATATTCGACACGATCTCGACATTTAGTTCCTTTCGACTGTTTATACTCTTTTCGAAATTGGTTTGTCTGAGAGAGTAAAATTATGATGCATTGGATATTTCATATGGACTGGACTGAGAGTCGAAAAATCCTTACAAAAATGTTATACGATAAATTGTATACTTTTCCCCCGTTATCCTTTTTCCAAGGCTGTTAAGACGAATCTGTGTCTGTCTGGCTTCGTTAGACCTCTCGAGGATAAGCAACGGGCAAGCAGTATCGTGATCTCCCTCTTATCTCCCATTAACGTACGGGTTCGTTGGAAAGGAGGGAAGAGCCGGGAGAGGGTAGAATATGTGTTCGGTACGGTTGATTGGTCCCGATATGCGGAGACGAGAGAGAGATACGTGTAATTCGGCGGACGATGGCGACGAAATTGCCGATCACGTGATGCCCGATTGCTCCGTCACAGCGGATCATCGTTCAGGGTGTCAGCATTGCTTGCTCTCCTTTGAGGGTTGATAGTTGCACTGAAGTAGATGTAGCGTCAGACATTGAGTCAGCATAACTGGTCTGTTGTGTGCATAGTGTTTTCTGCAAATGAACTGTAACCAAGCTTGACAATATACAGGGTGACTTCGAAGTTGAGTCATTAATTTTCAGATAATGATTGTAGAAGGAAGATGAACCAAAATATGTGTGTAAAAATAAAAAAAAATGTTACCTTGTTTTATAAAGTATCCTCCCGACAAGTATTTCAGTGCGGACCTGTATTTGATCGTGCGGTCTTGGAGCACCGGCATGACCTCCAGTGTGAGGTCTTAAGTCACCTGATTCACGAGCCCTTTGTACTACATTAACAAAGGCACGAGGGGTTGGTTGCACTCGATTTGGAAACCGATCCGCAGCATAAATAAGAATCATGTCCACACGTTCAGCATTTTCGTAAACATGTGCCATTTTTTATTTCGTTTGAGCCACGCAACAGACACCACTATTCACTCACGCGTTACCGACTGACACTGACTGTATACAACTGAATAAAATAATTGTAAAAACATCGTTCCAAATTCTTTCGCTTTTTTGTTTCCGATGCGATGAACCGATAAGGCGGATTATATCCGTTGTTGCCAAACACGAGCACATAATATTATTATTGAGACAGGGCGGTACTCAAACTTCCAAAGGGCTATAACTTTGTTACTTTAATTTTACCAGAAAAATGGTAAAGGAAAAAACATTTCTTTTGATCAGATCTACTCACTGTTAAAATAAATGACTCAACTTCGAAGTCACCCTGTATATATGTAAATAGGCCTTACGGTCAATACCCGTTAGATTCCGTGATAGTCACTTTGTAGTAACCTTTGGAGTTTTGTGGAACTAA